TAGGAACACAGCAGCCTGGGCCAAGACAGCCTTCGGCCTTCAGAGTGATGAGGGGTGAGGTGTTGACAGGGTGGGGTTATCAGTGATTCCTATTTTTCATAATAAGCATTCACCACATTCACAATAAAAAATGAAAAGGGTTTTTTTTTTTGGTTTGGTTTTTTTTTAAGTGTTTTTCCAACCCTGCTGGTACAGGCCTGTAATCCCAGTACTTGACTGGGAAGGTTAAAGCAGGATTGTATGTTCAAGGCCAGTCTGGGCTATAGAGTGAGACCTTGTCTTAAATAAAAAAAAAAAAAAAGGAAGGAAGGGAGGGAGGAAGGAATTTTAAGGAAGATATACACATATGTAAATATCACAATGTATCCTCCTATACAACTATTATATGCTAATAAAATAATAGGAAAAAAAGTATTTTAAGGAAATTTGTTGAAAAAAATCTATAGCAAATTATTTTTTAAAGCAAATAAACAAAACCTAATCATACACTTGATTTAAAGACATTCCTGCATAAGAACTCCAGTTTCCATGCGTGGTCTGCAGGTCTCTGGAGCAGAAAGCATGTTGGGGCCGCCAGGAATTCCCTGGAGTGCCTGGCAGAGAGCAGACAAGCAGGGCAGGCTGTGTTTGGGTAAAGCAGACCACATTTGGTTTTTTTCCTTCAAAAAAGGCATCAAAGTCTGAATTCTACCTTTACATTCAGTGAGTGTTCAAACATGTAAAGCCCAGAGAGTTTGCTGGGAAATGAAAAGAGTGTATAAAAGGGTATCCGTGCTGGGATTACAGTGATGAAAAAAAACACTCAGCTCACAGGCGAGGGCAGGAAGGGATCATCGGGAAAGAAAACAGAGCAGCGGTGCAGAATTATGAGTCACTGTTTTATTTTACTTAATTGCTCTGCCTGTAAATTTTTCAAAACTAATATAAGCATATTTTACAGCTCCCAGAACATTTAGAACATATTAAAGTAAGTCTCTTTCCACTGTAATGTGCCCAATTGAAATTTATGAATTCCAAAGCTATGCTTTAAGGAGATGAAAGAACTGGCACTCCACGTTCTGTAGATTCATCACATGGGCTGGGTTGTTTTTCTCCTGATCAGAGAGGAAATCATCTCTCAGTAAATGCTACCTTCAGTCAAGGATTCTTCCACATTCTAGAAGCTTGGATGAGTGGGTCATAGTAAGTCTTACTGTGCCCCCTAGTGGCAAGTAGGATTTATGCACACAAAACCATCCTTACTGAAGAGCATCATACTGAACAAGATAAGCCAAGCTCAAAAGACCAAATATCCCATGTTCTCACTCATTTGTGGAACCTACACATAAAATGATGGTGAGGATGATAATGGGACGTGAATGCAAATGGGGTACTGTGTGAAGGGAATCGGCAGGAGGGGGAAGAGGAAGGATACAGAGGGTAAAGAGGACACAGTATGCTGCTGCATATGAGGACAACGCAATGAAACCTACCAAACACTTGGAAAATGGGGGCTTGAGGGAGGGGACGTGGAAGCATAATGGAGGGTGAACTTGTTCAAGGTACACTGTACACATGTACAGTGAAATCCCCTCATATCATTAATGTATGCTAATTCAAAAATAAAACTGAAAAAAAAAAGTCCTTTTCCAAAGCCCAGCAATGAAACCCAGCAAATGTTTTAAAATCTTTACTGATCACTTAACATGTATAAAATTTTGTGCCAGATGCTACAGAGAATATGAGAACATATCTGGCATGCTTCCCATGCTCAGGAAGCTTACAATCTATCAAGCTACTTAGGTAGAATAAGCACTCCGCAGCTGCCCAGCAGGGAAGGGGGAAAACTCCTGGGGATAGCAAGACCCCCAGCCATGCTGAGTGCCAGTCACATGCCAGGAGCCCTCCAGGTAATTCATATCCAGCATTGGCTGATGTTCAAGAAAGCCCAGTAAGACACACATAATTATCTCCACTTCACACATAAACTGAGGCTCAGTTTGTTACTTTAGCCCCATCTCTGACACCAGGGAGAGAGAAGCACGCCACTGCCTAGCCAGGCCACATACGAACCTGTGGGCCCAGTACATCCTCAGACTTGGCCAGGACTTCCCTCCCCAGCTTCCTCTAGTCCCCAATCCATCTTCCCATCCTGGCTCCTTGGATCCCTGTCACACATTCTTCACACTGAAAAAGTTTCTAAAAGTCAACCTGCCCAAAACCAGTTTGCCAAATAACCCAATCACTGAGAACTATAGTAAACATCTTAAAGCAGAGAAGGCCCTAACCCACTATTTGCATTTGTCACTTATAAAAACCTTGATTTTCAAGACACTTCAGTAAGAAGAGGATCAGGAGACACTGATCCTAGCAGCCAGATCAGTACTGACCCAACCCCACAACCCCTCTGGGGCACCTCCAGTGCCACCCCTGGGGCTTTACCCTGAGGCCTAGACAGCAGGGTGTTCAGGCTCCCCGGAAGCTGCCTGGCAGCCCCAGGAGCCCCATGCTAGCAGCAGCATCCAGCAACATACCTCCTAGGGACAGACAAGCACAGCAACATCACCCTAAACACAGTCCTAAACCCAGGTCTCAGGGAACCTCCCGGGAGCAAGGTTTCCTGCAATTCCAAGCTCTGCTGACTGCACCCTCTTCTAGTCACGAGTTGTCAAGAATAGTTAGTTGCTCTAGTTTCTAGTCCTTTGGGGCAGGAATAGATTTTGGGGAGTAAGGTGGAGTAGGCTTGGCATTTTCATCTGTTCTACAACACCCAGAAATCAATGTTCCACTTACACATGCTGTTAAAAATCATGATGGGGACACATCTATTTAGGAAACCAAAATTTTCCGGCAAAAGTGACTTGAGCTATTTGGCTCTGCTAGCACTTTACCACAGCACTAGGTAGAGACCAGTCCCCACAGGGCTCCAGGTCTTCCCCCTCCCCCCTGGGAGACAGGAGGTACCAGTAGATGGGTAAGTAAGCATCCACAAGGACACACCTGATCCACTTACCACCTTCACCTCTCCAGGGGGCAGTGCCATTAAATGGAAGGTATTATGTCCGTGGCAAGCCACCTCTGCCTCCTGCTGGCCTGTGCTCACTGCCACCACCGGCTTACTGAGGGACAAAGAAAGGAATCTGGCCTTTTTCCCAGGGCTCACATGCAACAGAGACAAGTTCCACGTCCAACAGTGGACAGTCCATGAGTGGATGTGGGGAGGGGAGAGACTGGACATGAAAATGTAACTTACAGATAAAAGGATTTGGATAGGTTGGTTGCAGAATTCTGAGGAAAGGAAGGGGAGGATGCCAACAGTTACTGAACACCTATGGGGCACCAGCTCTGCACCAGATGCTTTTTGAAAGTATTTTTCTCAAGTAATCACATGGCACAGGTATGATTATGCCCTTTACAGTTAAGACACCAGACTCAGAGGGAAGACAGCTTGGGCAAGTGACCAGCTACTCCACAGCAAGCTGCGTTTGAAGCCACATTCTTTCAAGGAGGTTGTAGATCAGCAGGTGGAGAGCAGGTGACATGGGGCCACTCAATAAATCCTGGTGTTTGCCTCCTTTTAGCTTCTCTGTTCTACAAACCTGAGCTGCCCCAACCTCTGCTTTACTTACTTTGCTGCCGTAAGTAAGTCACAAGCTGCACTTAAACTTAGTAACATTACATTTCTTGAAAACAAACGTCTAATTCCACTGATGTCAAATGCAAACAAACATTTCTCCTTTTTTACCCTAAAGCCAGAGTTTTGATCATATCAAAACCTGAGTTTTGCTCATACTATATCATCAAAAGTTGAAAAAGAGATAATACTCAGTGCTGGTGAGCACATGATGAGAGGGGATTCTTCTACCCCACCACTCTTCAGTAAAGTCACGAGCCTACAGTTAATCCCAGGACGCCTGCCTCTAGGAACCCACCATAAAGAAGTATCAAGGACAAGTGAGTGAATAAAAATTCTGTAGCAGTATGTCTATTGCAGCATTATTTATTTAGAAACCATTTAATGACTAACAAAGGGGGCATGGCATGAAGAATGAAATGTTATCATTCACTGGTAAATGGATGGAATTGGAGAACATCATTCTGAGTGAGGTTAGCCTGGCCCAAAAGACCAAAAATCGTATGTTCTCCCTCATATGCAGACATTAGATCAAGGGCAAACACAACAAGGAGATTGAACTTTGATCACAAGATAAAACCGAGTGCACACAAGGGAGATATGAGGATAGGTAAGACACCTAAAAAATTAGCTAGCATTTGTTGCCCTTAACGCAGAGAAACTAAAGCAGATACCTTAAAAGCAACTGAGGCCAATAGGAGAAGGGGATCAGGAACTAGAGAAAAGGTTAGATTAAAAAGAATTAACCTAGAAGATAACACACATGCACAGGAAATCAATGTGAGTCAACTCCCTGTATAGCTATCCTTATCTCAACTAGCGAAAACCCTTGGTCCTTCCTATTATTGCTTATACTCTCTCTTCAACAAAATTAGAGATAAGGGCAAAATAGTTTCTGCCAGGTATCGAGGGGTAGGGGGGAGAGGGAGGGGGCGGTGTGGATGGTAAGGGAGGGGGTGGGGGCAGGGGGGAGAAATGACCCAAGCATTGTATGCACATATGAATAATAAAAAAATAAAAATTAAAAAAAAAAACAAAGGGGGCATGGGTAAATAAAATGTGGCATAATCAGATGATAAAATAATACAATATTATTATAAAGTAAAATAAGATTTTATCATCTGGTCTTACCATAATTTATTAAATTGATTTAATGCTCTGGTGCCCTGGGCAAGGCAGTATCAACAAAGGGATAGAGCAGGAAGGACCAATAATCCAGGGCTGACCACAGAGAATCCCTTCTTAGATGTAACAAAGAAAATTACAGAAACTTCCAGAAATAAATACCCAGCCTGGGACCACCCTCTACCTAACTCTGACAAATGTAACATTCCAGGAGTTTAGCCCCAAGAGCATCTGAAAACAGAAGTTGTCATGATAATCTTACCTTGAAGGTCTTATCCATAGAAGTGGAGAGAAGCATGTGGCTCTTAGAAAAGACTGGACACCACTGGATGCTGTTGACAGGGCCCCTGTGGCCTCGCAGGTGGAAGAGCACTTTCCTGGGAACCTTGGTCTCCCTGTACTGACTGTTCAAATGTGGCTGGATCACCTCAGACACTGTGGGGGCCACACAGAGAGGGGCTGGGGTGCACTTTTCAGGGGGGCCCTGAGGCTCCAGATTTGTACCCTCACCTGTCTCTGCACTCAAGGCTTGTAGCTGCCTCAGTCTCTTCGGGGTATATGGAACCACACAGTCCTCACCCCTTTTCCTCTGGAAAGAGCCAACATTTCTACATGTGGTTTCAGATTTATGCTGAATGGGGAAAGATGACTTGGGAGAACACAAGGAGGGTTTCACTTGTTTTAAACAGGCAGCTGCCAGGGGTACATGGTCGGCCGGAGCACGGCTTATCCACAGAGAAGGGCGAGGAGGCTCGCTGATGGGGAAGGTGACTTCAGGCTCCTTCCAGGGCCACTGCAGCCTCTGGCTAGGGCAGGATCCCGGGTCACTTTTCCAGAGCTGAACCAGTGGGAGACGCCGTTCCCTGAGGTCTGCACAAGGAACAAGGTCTGTGAGCTGTGCCCCCTCTTTTGTCACATCCACAGCACCAGGTACAAAACCCAGCCCAAGAGGTCTGGCCACACGAGAAATGTCTGTCATCTGACCACCAGTATTCACACTTCCAGCAGGCTCAGTCTCAGCCTCTGAGTCGGAATCATCATATGCCACCAGCGAAGTCATGGGGGACACGGTTCTTGCTGCCAACGAAGGCAAACTACCTGAGACTAAAAAAGTCAGCCATCAGCAACTGCACAAGGGAGAATATTTATGTAGTTAAAAGAAAACATATCACTTCAAAAATCCAAGATGTCAAATACCACAAGAATAAACACAAAAAATAAGGGCTTTTTTCAAAAAGCTAAAAGGATTTTGAATGTTTTCAACATAAAGAAATGATAAATGTTTGAGGAGATAAGTATGTTTATCCTAATTTAAACTACATAACATATAAATTTTTAAATAATTTTTAAAATAAAGACTTTCCTATACACCAGGCATAATTAGTTAGAGGGAGTAATTTTAAAATGAAGACTATACAGGTAACAATAAACACCCATGTCTACCGTAGCATTATTCACAATAGCTAAGCTATTGAAACAACCAGGATGTACTACAACTGATGAATGGATTAAGAAATATGGTATTTATATACAATGGAATTTTATTCAGCCGTAAAAAGAAGAATGAAATTTTGTCATTTGCAGGTAAATGAATGGAACTGGAGAACATAATCGTAAATGAAGTTAGCCAGGTTCAAAACGCTAAAGGCCACGTTTTCTCTTATATGTGGAATGCAGACCCAATACAAATACCAGTTATGCTAACAGGAGGTCACTAACTAATGGGAGAGGGAGGGTGAAAGAAGGAAGTTAAGAAAGTGAATAAGGTTGATGTACTTTCTATACATGAATGAATATAGAATTTTTAAACCAGTTGAAATTACCATAAGAAGGGGACTAAGGTAGAAAGGAGAAAAATAGAGGGGATGAACAAATTCAGGTTATAATACAGCTATACATGAAAATGTCAAAATGAAACACCTTACATAGCTATTTTAAACAAGCAAAAATGTTTTTTTTAAAAACAGAGAATAGGAAGGTAAAACAGGTCCCGCCTGGAGGGTTAGTCCCAGTAGCAGGGGAGGATATTAAAGAAAGCATGTTTGTGGCGGAAATATTACGTACTCATATATGAAGATGGAAAAGTGGGATCCGTTGAAATGATTCCAGGAATGGAGTGAGGGGGATAAAGGAGAATGATGGAGTGGGTGACTTCAACTATGACATATTGCAAGAACTTTTGTAAATGTCACAATGTATCCCCAACACAATAATGATAATAAAAAATAAAGTAAAAAAAATGAAGACTATGAACAAATCTACAAAAAAAGTGAGAAGAAAATGAAAAATGTTATTGAAAAACATAAAAGAAGACCTAACTAAATGGATACGTGATGCCAGACAGGCTTGGGATGGCAAAGCTGCCTGTGGGAGGCAATACAGATACAACTTCAAACACCGGCAGTTTCTATCCCAGCCACCCCACTCCAGAGCTCCTCCCAGTATATTTGCTAGACATACGTATGACGGCAATAAATGTCCACGGAAGGCCTGCAGCACTGTTTGTTTAGCAACAGGTAAGAGGAGCATGCATTCATAACATGAACGAGGTGAGGTCTGAAAATAATGAAACAGAAAGCATCCCAATTCTCCATGTGGAGAAGCGTGCCACGCTAGTCCTTCCCTTTATTCTCTGCCTAGAACCAGTGGGAAAGACAGACTCACAACAACACAAGACTGAATCAGGTCCTAGGATATCAATCCACACAAGTGTGCCAGGAGCAAACCTGACTGTGTGATCCAAATCTGCCCATGCAGACCCCAACACACAGATTCACACAGCACTGAACTTCTTCTTTTTAAAAAGTCTTCCTGAAATTCCGAATAAGTTGATACCAACTAGTTCTCTGTAAGAAGTGCTTTGGTCTGGAATTCAACATTTTACTTTGTTTTGGGGAGTTTTGTTTTTGTTTTTATTTTTGTTTTTTGCAGTACTGGGGTTTGAACTCAGGACCTACACCTTGAGTAACTCCACCAGCCCTTTTTTGGTGATGGGTTTTTCTTGAGATAGGGCCTCGCAAACTATTTGCCCAGGCTGGCTTTAAACTTCGATCCTCCTGATCTCTGCCTCCTGAATAGCCAGGATTACAGGGCTGAGCCACCAGTGCCTGACTTGGAATACAACATTTTAATTCTGTGCTATTAGCAAGCAGAAGCAGGGGGAAAACAAGGCTGTTAGGCACACCACGGCCAGCAGAGGGCGAAGTGGAAGAGCACAGCAAGTCCAGATCAAGGACCAACTTTTTTTTTTTTTTAAGTTTTCACAAGGATTTATTTTAGTATAAAAGGACAAAGTAGGGAGAAATGGGGGAGGAAGGGACAGACCTTTTCTGCTTCCCAGGCAGAATTCCTTTTTTTCTGAGGGGAGAGGGAGGGAGAAAGGCTCTCCTATATGCTGGCCTCAAACTCAGGATCTTCCTGCCCTGGGCCTCCTGAGTATAGAGATTACACCTGTGCACCACCACACCTAGCTAGATGCTGGATTTCAATGTCCCTTGGAATCAGTTACTCAACTCCTTCCACACCTTTCCCTCAAATGGCACCATTTGCTTAACAAGCTTCTGTCATACAAGCCAGGTTATAGTAAATAAATGTCTGTAGTTAGCCTCCTCCTATAATGGTGCTCCTGCTAGGAGGTAATCCAGGTAGGTACGAACACCCACATGCAAAGTTATCATCGAAATAAGACTTCCAAAACCAGCCAGCCCTCAAATGGAACTAATTCAACATGGTGGACTAATTATAGACTAATGGAATATGAATGATTTGGTACCTAAATACTCAGCCAGGTCCTGGGGCCAGTCTCAACTCATGGCCCAGGCGCACCCACCACAACTCCTTCCTGTCAAGGGGCACCCACCAGGATGCTTGTGCTTGGCCATGAGGATGGATTCTCACCTGTGTAGTTGTCACCAGTGGTCCACTCCCAGGAGAGGCCTACGGAGGAAAATCAGAGAGCAGTGTGGCCTGTTGACTCTACTCTCTAACAAGTCAAAGCAGCAAGCTCTGAATGAACACGAGAGTGGACAACAGGACTCCTGACACACTCCGTTCCATACCTGTCATCACTCATTCAACAAACATTGCCAGTGCATTAGCTCCTCACCGAGCTCTACACACTGGGCACCAGAGACTCTGCCACAGTGGGAGAAGCTAAATGATGTCCTGTGCTCACCAAATTCACATGCAGGGGGAAAGACAGACCCCAGATAAGTGAGCCAGACGATGTCAGGAAGGGAAAACTCAAAAGAGAAAAAGTAGCCGGGCCATGGTGGCTCACACCTATAATCCTAGCCACTCCGGAGGCAGAGATCAGGAGGTTCACAGTTCAAAGCCAGCCTGGGCAAATAGTTCACGAGTCCCTATCTCAAAAATACCTAATACAAAAAGGGCTGGTGGAATGGCATAAAGTGTAGGCCCTGAGTTCAAGCCCCAGTACTGAAAAAAAAAAAAAAAAGAAAAAGAAGAAGAAAGAAAAGTGAAGCAGAGGAGAGTGAGGGCAGCTGGGCCTGGGCTACAGAGCCACACAGGGGAGCTAATGCAGGCCTCAAACCGAAGACGAAGAGAAGGAGCAGAGGGGTTGCCCCGCACTGAATACTGAATAGAACCAACACCACCAGATGAGAGGAGTCAGGATGGTTCAAGAAAACAAGACAAAAATGGAGAAGATTGGGAACTTACGGGAATAACACAATTTAGGAGGTGACTGCTGCCTTTTGTTTCTACGATGAAAGAAGAAATTTTTAATAGGGGGCGTGGTTCAACCAAGACCGCGGCAGCCAGATAGGGAAAAAGGTACCAGCGTTGGAGAAGAGTCTACGGGGACACCAACAAGTCAGCTCCACGAGGGCAAGCCATTTTTGTAAGTTTGTTCACTGCTCGAAGATCCCCGAAGTCTAGTCCTATTTGTGAAATAGATGGTGCTAAGGGGTGCAGATGAAGTAAAATCGGAATATTCCCATACAACAAACATTTTCAGATAACCCACTCTGTGTCAGGCCCTATGTTGGGTCAAATGTGGACAGAAACTAAACACATCCTCCAGGATCCCAGAGGCCACAGACAACGGAGATACGACCAGAGATGGGTTTTGAAGGATGAACAGAAGTTAGTGGCGCTGTCAGTAGTAAGAGGTAAGGATGGTTCGGAGCACAGCGCTTTTGGAAGGAACCAAAACCGAAAGAAAGGCTAGCAGTGATGAAAGACCCGCGATGAGAGGCGAGGAGCGCGCTGGACGCGGCATGAACCCAACACCCTCCCGCCAGGGACCCGCAGCTCACCACACGCACCGGAAGCGCTCGGTACTTCCCTAGGTGGTCCGATCTGCACTCCGCCGCCGAGTCGCGTTCCGCCGCGACACCGTGCTTCCAGCCAATCAAAGACTGGCTCCGCCCCACCCTCGCACGAACAGCCAATGATACCGCGTTAAATCCGGAAGTAGTTCCGGCCGGACGGCGTTTCCAGGGACGCCCAGGAGGTAACCCGTGGCTGAGCCGGCAGCGCTCACTGGCCTGGTAGGGCCAGGTAAGTGAGGGGAGGGCAATCCGGGCGATGAAAGCTAGGGAGGGACGCTAGGGCGGCTCCCGGAGCACTGGCCTTCTGGGGAGTGCCCGCATGCCTGGGTTCGGGATGCCCTCCTTAGAGCCGGCTCGCTGTCCTGATGGGTCGCGAAGGCTGCCACTGCCCATCTCGCCCTTCTCCGAGCGCCGCCGACTGGCATGTCTACCACCCCTGCCAGCACCGACCCTTCGTCGTCTCCAGTCTCTTCCCCTTTCTCGAGAAGAGGGGGCCCCCACTGTTGCTTGGTGCTTGCTATGCGCCAGGGGCATTGCCTGTAGTGTCAAGGGGAGTCTCATCCAGGTAGTGTTAGGAATCCTCTTTATGCCTATTTCACAAGTGAGGAAAACGAGGCAGGGAAGTAATGTGCCTTGCAAAGCAAGAAGATGCCCAAGCTGGGATTGAAACCCAGGGTTCTCTGACCCCCGAACTCGAGCTTTCCACTACACTGCGGCGCCTCAGAGCACAGCAGCCGCAGGGAATTTACAGGCTGTCTGCCCCCTACCCCGTGACTACACCTGAGCACAGTTGCAATGGTGTTGAGGGTGGGGAACCGGCAGAGGGCAGGGCAGTTATGTGGCGATCAACCTAGTGAAGGGGTGCTGATGCAACTACAGATAAATCGCTTTGTTGTTTTGAAGGTTTCACTGATCTCATCCAGAGCCCGCAGCCAACCCGCCTCTGATTGGACAGGCTCATCAAGGAGGCTGGTCAAGAGGCTGAATTGTTTCGAGAATCTGTGTGATTTCTAAGAAACTCCTACGTGCACGGGTTGAAGGGGCGGGATAAGACAGGAAAGATATTATAACCTGAATTTCCTTTTCTAAAAAAGGAAACTGAAAGAAAGAGAAGAGTATTAAAGACCACCCCCATCTAGGTTGGCCATTCTCAGCTGCTCAACTGCCCAGTGTGACCAGTGGCCACCTCTGCGGTGTCTCTCACAACCGGGGTATGTTTTGCCATCTTTGCCAGGCTTAGAGCTTGTTTTTAGTTGTTTCAGTACTCTCATGCTTCCCTGTTTCCATAGGGAGTGGAGATAGTGGGTAGGGAATTGCCTGCTTGGTTCAGAGCTTGCTTTTCAGCACCTTCATGTCAGCTATCATATCTTTCAGTGATGCTGCCTTCTTAAATAGCATCTGAACATGTTGACATCCTTATTGTGATGCCCAAAAGTAGCTAATGCCTGACTTCATGTAACTCAGTTTCCTTTCCTTTTAAAATAATGTTCATGGGGCTGGAAATGTAGCTCAGTTGGTAGAACCCTTGCCTACCAGGAACAAAAAGTTTTCTCCTAAGAGGTCTTCTTTTCTTGGTCCTTTCGGAATTTATTAGTCCAAAACCCACACTCTGAGGCCACATTTCCACCTCCTGGGCATTCAGAAACTTTCTTGGGCCACCTGCTCTTCCAATCAGGTCTAAATTAGCTATTTTGATGTCACTCTTTTCCAGATTACAGTTTAGTATATCTTATCTGTGATGATTTCACTTCAGCCCAGTCATTCTTCTTTCCATTCCTTCTGCCCGTACTGTATCATTTCTTTAAGTGCCTGTTATGCTCATCCAGAACAATGGGACCTTTCCAAATGAGCGTAAGATTAAAGGTCCTGAAAGAGAGGACTTGGGAGTGTAAGAACTCTTGCAGCTTTTTCCTCAGAGGTCTGGTATGAAGTAGGTAGTTTGTCTGTTTATGTTCCTAATGCCTTGGTTTAAAGAACTTAATAGATACTTCATGTTTGTAACTTTATTTTCTCCTTCCATGTTGTATCAAAAGACTTTCCTTATCAAAGACTCAACTCCCCATTTGGAGTTAATGTGCTACACCCATAAGACAGTGGTCCTTAAACTTTGGGTATTTCAGACCCCTTTGAAAGGGTAATAAAAATTGATACTCTACCTAAAACCATATACACCCAGTGCACATGCAAACTTTGATGTCTTTCAGAGGTTCTAAACTCCAGGCTGAAAAGCTCTGAAGTTAAACAATTAAATTTTAACTTTTTTCAATTTATAAAATTAACTGAAAGTTAGCTAATAAGTAAGGTGGATGTTGACTAGGTGGGGGAGAAAGGAAGCCATTCACACACTAAATGGGTAAGTGGAGAAATGCATCATAAAATGAAGGAGGTGGTAGTTCTGTTCCTCTTGTCTCAGACCACTCCTTCAGCACTTACTCAAGAAGTTGCATCATACACACAAGTTGTATCTAGTGTGGTAACTCCAGCAAGCTGAGTGTGAGTCTTGTGATCATGGGAGCATCATCTGCTACTCCCTCAGGCTGATTTACTTCCCACATTTCTCTTCTAAAATGAGATTCTGATATTTAAAGATGCATATTTGTCTCTGCAACATGGAGCCTGAATACAGGCCCAGCTCCTCTAGCCTATCCTGTATCAAAGAAACAGTTACTGGTTTGGTTGCATTGGGAGGAGACTGGCTATCCCAAGCTGACTCAGTTATTCTATTCTGCCTGACACTTTTCCTAGGAATTTTTTAAGGTAATTTTGATCAATACTTAATTCGGATCCTATTCAATTTGATCTTACTGCCACTATCTATAGCTGTCCGTGCAGGATCCCACATTTTTGGAAGGGCAGAATTAAGGGAAGTACAGAAGGAGGCACCATCCTCCTGTGCTAACATTGCAGATGTTAGCAATGAACTAGGGTACATGACCTGGAAGGCTCCAGGAAACATGGCTCTCCCCAGATCTCAGAAGGCTCAACATAGTATCAGGACATTAAATAAAAAGCTGACTAAAGTCCAGACAGGGAAATCAACCTTTACCTAGAACAGATACTTATAAAGACATTATAAGAGGAAAATGTTGGACTAAGTGACTTCTGCAATTCATGCATTCAGTAAAGATTTGTTGAAAACTGTATACCAGATACTAATAAATTTATGAAGGAAATGCTGGGAGATCACAGAAGATGGACCCAGAGGTGCAGGGGTCAAGAAAGGCTGTGAAGAGTTGAGATTTGAGTTAGAAAGATATTCATCAGTGTCCTGGCAAAGGAGGGTAAGATATTTCAGGCAGCAGGAACAGCTGGAATTCTGACAGCCCATGGCCTTGACTTCCTGGAACTCAGAAGGGTGGGCTGGGTTCCTTGAGCCATCAGCCTTCTGTCTGCTACAGAAAGCATGTACAGTCTGGGGGCAGGGAGAGGGGGGCTGGACTCAGGTCAGTATTTGGGGTTTGAGCTTGATTCTGGATCATTCGTGGTTGGATTATTTTGTATTGCTTTCTCTGTTATCTGATACGGACAAACATCTGCCCACAACCTGCATGGGTATGCTGCGTGAACCTGACTAGAAGCGACAGGGAATGAGAAATAAAAGAACACACAGGTGTAAGCATAACACAGAAAACTGGGATCAGGAGGGCTACACGTTCCTGGTGGGAAACGTGAGCGCCTACCTGAGCCAGAGTTTATTTTATAGGTCAGTACAAGGAAAAGACTCAGGTAAAAATCAAGCTTCAACAATTCTTTGATCTAAGGTAAAAGAAATGAGGTCTGGTGGGCTAATTTTCCTAAGGCTATGGAAGCTTAATTACAACACGTCAGTTCTGGAATCACCAAGGCACTCAAGACACTTTATCTAAGGTACTGATTAATCTGGCATCCGGGAGTTTCCAAATAGTTCTGTTACTTTATCTAGTTTTTCATCAGGGGGCTGGTATGTGGACACAGCAGGTTGTTTTCTTCAAGGAGATGCGGGAACAAAGGTCAAGATACCAGGTACTGGGAAAAATATAGTAAGAGAGGTTTTGCAAACTCCTACTATGGAGAGGCTCTGCAATCTCCATTATTTCCCAGTCCAGGGTCCATGCCTGGTCCCCAACAAACATCCCCAGAGAGAAATGAATAATGACTAATTTCATCTGCTTATAGCTGGGACATAAATGGGAGCCTGAGTTATTTTTCCTCTCTGGCACTAAGAAAAAGGTACTTCTGCATTTCTCTTTTTTTATGGGCCTCCCTATGCTAGGAACACCTTGTTACCCCAGTCAGTTATCTCACCAGCGTTCCCTTTCTGGGAATTATGGTGATTCTCAGCAAGTAATAAAAGAAACTGGCTGCTGTCCCATCCTGGTTTCAGTATTATGATTTCATTGAGTTATATGAAGATTGATATCATTCATTAACAAAATGCTGGTACATATCCTCCTTTCAAAGAATTCAAGTAGCATGTTCTTCCTTTTACTTTCACTGACAGAAATTTTCAACTAGGTTTAATTCTTTATTATCATACTAGCAGTAGTATTTTTCTTTGTCCTTTAGTATTTTTCTCTATACAGTTAAAATCATTTTGTAAAAAATATATTTTATTGTAAGCAACCTAGAAGATTTTGGAGAGACTTTCTTAATGTTGATAAAATCAAATTTATGTATTTGGTTAAGGTGGGATTTTAATTTGTGTCATAAATAAGACTAATTTTTGTCTTAAAGATTGATGTTAAAATTCATACATCTTTTTAAACAAATTGAACAAGTTAAAAATAAATTACACCTCAAATTTGTATGTTCAACTCAGAGAGTTAAGTAGTTTGTAGGACAGTGGTTGAGACTACTGCTTGAGTTCGTAGTCCATCTCTGTGTGTGTTGGACAAGCTTTGTAACCCTCTGTTTCTCATCTGTGAGATGAGAGAACAAATCCATCACACAGGATTCTGGTAAGGCTCAAGTACATTGGTGTATATAAGATGCTTACAACAATACCAGGGTGGAAGTACTCAGAATTAGGGGCTTGACCATAAGCTGCTGCTTTATCACCACTCCCTCTTTCAAGGTGTTGCAGCAAATTAAGATGAAGCTGGAGGTCAGTGGAGCTCTGGAACCTTAGAAACAAAACCCAGGGCAGTAACAAGACTCACACTGTGTTTGCATCTTGCTTTACAGTTTACAAAGTGCTCCCATGTCATTTTTTTCTGATTTCTTCTTGTAATAGTCCTTAACATGTGGAAAAAGTTCTTGGTGATATTAATTTATTTAGTATTTTATTTTTTATTATCATATTATTGTACTGGGGGTACATTGTGACATTTACAAAAGTTCTTACAGTATACATATTTAAATTTACCCCCACATCATTCTCCTTTAACCCCCTACCCCATTCCTGCAATGGTTTCAGCAACTCTCATTTTTCCATTTCCATACATAAGTACATAATATTTCCACTACATTCACTGTCTTTATATCCTCCCACTTCCCAATGGTACCAACCCCCCAGAAGGACTTGTTTTACTTTCCTGTTCTCCGTTTTTTTTAAAAAAGACATTTTGTTTAAGATAACTATACAGGGAGTTTCATTGTGACATTTCTATGTATATATGTATTATAACCTGAATTGGTTCGTCCCCTCTATTTTTCTTTCTCAGTGATGCTATTTTATAGATTAGGAAACTGACACTGAGAAAAGGGAATTGACTGACTTAAGAAGGAACCTTTTTCAAGGTTAATAGAAAACAATGCCTGATAGAAGGCTCAGACATGTGTTCCTCAAAGGTTTGTAGTCAAGTAAGACAGCATATGGAATGGGTAGGCTGCAGGTTACCTCATTTGGAACCCAGCACAGGTAAGTTCTGTTCTCTTCACAGAGCTCACTAAGCCTGAGACCAGAGCAGCTGTCCAATTAGAAGCCATTTGCTTAGCAGTGGTACATTGGTTATGGCTGCAAAGGCCTGAGAATTTGTCCCCAAAGCAGCTAAGATAAAGAACAAACAGTAGTTTGCCAAATGTTTTTAGCTCTAGTGAACATAGACTTCACTGGTATTTCTTTCCTAAGTAAACACAAGTCCCTCCTTTGCTATGGGCAGTGGGTAAGGATGGGGCATCAAACTTAGTCTTCACTCAGAGGGTCCTCCTTTGCTGATCACAAGTAAGTATGTCATAGCAACTACTTTAGTCCTCACCAGCAGCACTTGTTCTTCTTTTATGTCATATTATCCATTTCCTGTACTATAACTCACAACCTGAAAAAAGGATTAGAGGAAAAAAAAAAATAGCTGCAATTATCTACTAATCTCATCCTCCCCCACCCCAGTTTCTTTTTCTTCACAGAGTTGTGTTGACTGCAGAACAAGTGCTCCACACCCTAGTCAGCTGTGAACCTGGAAGATGTCAGACGTGGCCAATGGCGAGCCCTGTACCTCTCCTCTGGAACTGTTCAACAGCATAGCTGCTCAGGGGGCACTCGTGAAGTCCCTTAAAGCTAAAAAGGCATCAAAAGTAGGTGGTTTTGTTGGGCTTTACAACACATGTAATCTGAGTCTCCCACATCTATAGGGTTAAGTTGTTTTAGAAGAGTCTGCTCCTTCAATGACCAAAGGTGGTATTTTTATAATTTTTTTTTCTTTTTTTTTTTTTTTTGGTTTTGTTTTGTTTTTATGGGTTATACACACACACACTTTGGTTATAATTTTAAATTATATTGTCATCATTATCATGCCTGTAGTCTAAAAAGCCATTGTTCTGAAAGCCTTTGTGAAATGCAGTAATCCCTTGGTACCCACAGGGAATTGGTCCCAGGACCCCCAAGGATACTAAAATCCATCAGTACCCAAGTCTCTTATTTAAAACAGCTAGAGGCTGGTGGAGTGGCTTGGCAGTGGAGCACCTGCCAACCAAGCATGAGGCCCTGAGTTCAAACCCCAGTGCCTCTAAAAAAAAAAAAAAAAAAAAAAATCCTCCTAAAACAGTGTTGTAGCCCGATGTGGTGGTGCACATCTGTAATCCTAGCACTCAAGAGACTGAACTAGGAAGATGGCAAGTTCAAGGCCATCCTGGGCTACATAGCGAGTTCTAGGCCAGTCTCAGCCACATAGTAAGACCCTGTCTCAAACACACACACACACCATAGTGTTTACATATAACCTATACACGTACATACTTCTCTATACTTTTAAGTCATCTCTATATTATAATACTTACTCAAAGGTAAATTCTATATAAGGAGCTGCTATACTATAAAGTTTATGTGATAATAACAAAAGTCTATACATGTCCAGTAGAGATGCATTTTTTTCCAAGTATTTTCAATCTGAAGTTGGTGAACCCTAGGATACAGAACCCACAGATATGGAGGGTGGTCTATACCACAGCCCTCCAGCCCACCCTTCCCCATTTCCTGTTCCCAGACACAAATATTTTCAGTTCTTTTAGCTGATTCTTTAGGTGTGTACTCCCCATACCTCTAAATATGCTTTTTTCCTTCCTTCTTGTTGATGTTCAAGTTTGGGGCATAAATTTCAGAATTCATACTTTCAAACACTTCCTGTCCTTCCAGTCTCCCACTGTATACTGGTTGTGTTTCTAGTTAGGTCATTATTAGTAGCAATATTATCATGCTATGTAAACATGTAGACACCTGAACCATCAAGTATGAGTATGAGTATTTGTCCTTCCCTGCCCAGCTTTGTTTTCTCTGGAGTTAATATTTGTCTTAATTTCTGTTTGCCTACCTTTTTATGTACAAATGATAATGCACAGTCATGCACCGCTTAACAATATTGCACTTAAAGACCGTTCACATATACAATGGTGGTTCCATAGAACTAAAAGTTTCTTATCACCTAATGACACAGTCACCACTGTAACCTTGTAATGGAATGCATTACACACGTGTGCTGATGGACACACCTACTATACTGCCAGTCATAAAAAAGGATAGCACATACAATATGTACAGCACATAATACTTGATTGTGATAATAATCACCATGTTACTAGTTTATAGTCTTTTGGTTTGGTTTGATTTTGGCTATTTTGTTGTGAATTTTTGTTTTTGCTTTGGTAGTGGAATTGGAGATGGAACCCAGTGCCTGGTACATGCTAAGCAAGTGCTCTACCACTGAGCTACATCCCCAGCCCTGGTTTATATTTTTACTGTACTTTTTAATTGTCATTTCAGGATGTACTCCTACTTATTTAAAAAAATAAATAAGTTTACAGTAAAACAGTGTGCACAGCCTCCTACATACCATGTTTACCAAATGACTTGATTGCATCAAGAGGCTACATCAAGTGATGGACCTGTACCATCTAGGTTTGTTTAAGTGTGCATTCTGTTGTTTGCACAACAACAAAGTCACCTAATGACACATTTCTCAGAACATGCGCAGGACTAGCTCAGGCTCTGCCCTCAACATACATCAATTAATCTATTGAGTTATCTTTTAGGGGAGGTCTCTCCCAGGACCTCTGCCAGCTTCCTTTTGGACTGGTGACTCTTGCCTCCCACACTGCCCATCTTGGCCCAAGGTTCCTTTTGCCTCTGTCTGTTGAGTCCCCCATTTCCTGATCTTGTGTCCTATTCCTCTTTACTCTTTCTTGGCTAAACAGGTGTAATGGTTTCTGAAAAAATTACTGCAATGGAAATGATTTTTTGAGCTCTGCATGTCTGAATTTTTTTTTAACCTAACAATTTAAAAAAATATAACTAGGCTAAGTATGGAATTCTCTCTTCCCTCCAAAGTGACTTTCCCTTGTAATTCTGAGGCTCTGGCTCCATGGTCATTGAGGGGCCTGCAGACTTGCTGGGAAGAAGTCAGATGCCTTTTTGTTCTCTGGAAGCTGCAAGGTCTGTTGTAGTGTTCTGAAATTCCTAGATGGGCTCAAAGCTCTCAGCAAACTAGAGACTTGACCTTTAATTCTCAGAAATCCATTGTTTCTTTGACCCCTTCTGCATTTTCTCTTTCTCTGTCTATAGACTTTAATCAGAAACTAGTTCTCTGGTTTTCTTATGTTTTCACTTCTACTTTTCATTTCTTTTTCTTTTGGTTCTTCTTTCAGGGATAGTTCCTCAACTTTTAACTCTCCTATTGTCTTTCATTTCTCCTTTCATTTTTAATTCCCAAGAACTGGTTTGACCACTGTATGTTCCTTTCCTTTCTTTTTCCCACCCTGCTCTGGTGTCATGGGTGCAATACCATTCCTTCATCTCTGAGAAATAAACAATTATATTTAAAAAAATAAATAGTACTGAAAGAAAGTAATGTCAAAAAAATGATTATTTACAGGAGATTTACTTACCAGGTAAGGTTCAGTGGATTGGGGTAAGTTGCTCTCATAAACAAAAATCTAAAATAAAGGACCCATATGTTGATTTATTCTATTATGCTACTATTTTGGGAAGCTAACAATGGTATTTTTGTTCATTTAGCATTTGAATAACATTTAGTAAGTGTTTTTAGTTAGTAATTTTCTTTTTTTTTAACTCAGGGCCTTATATTTACTAGGCAATTGCTCTACCACTTGAGCCACACCCCCAGTCTTTTTTTTTTTTTTTTTTTTTTTTTTTTTTTTTTTGTGATGGGATCTCCCTATGTAACTCAGGCTGGCCTATAACTCTGGATCTTCCTACTCATCCTCCCTAGTGCTGGGATTACAGGCATCATGCCCCACTAAGAAGCAAATCTTGATACAATTTAAAATAAGTCTTTCAAGTATATTCTATGACTACTGCACTCAGTGAACACACAGTAGTGAGATCAGAGGTTACACAATGAAACCAGAGTTAAATGATGAAAAGTTCAGAAGTAATCTTGTATCTAACCTTAAAATGTGCATATAATAGCAGCACTTGATGTCTTAGAAACTAACTTTTAACACAATAGCTGAGCTACATTGAGAGTGACAGTACGTCAGGGCAACTCAATGACATCTCCTCAGCCGTCTGCTGCCCTTCATCAAGGTCATGGTCCTCGAGGTTCTTTCCATAAGATCCTGTCTTTCAGTAACAACAGCTCACAAAAGCAGGGGGTGCCTTCAGAAAATAGGTCAGAATCTGGGGGTAGGGAAGAGAGACAGTGGCAGAGATGTGAACAGTTTGAATAGGATAGAAAAAATGGCACTGGTTCACAGAGTGAATACATCATGCGTACAGAGAAGCACGGCAATCACAAGCAGGCAGCTGAATGAACTTTCATCCATAGCTACGCAACAACACCGGGAAACCATCCTCATACCCTTTAGCCTCTGCCCCTCTGGATGGTTCAGCTGTGTTTGACTATATATAATATGAGATGTTAAAGGAAATGCAAGTTAAAACCACACTAACATTCCACCTCACCCCTGTTAGAATAGCCATCATTAAAAACACCACTAACAACAGGTCTTTGTGTGGATGTGGGGAAAAAGGAACCCTCATACTCATGCAAACTAGTGCAACCACTCTGGAAAAAAAATTGGAGGCTTCTTAAAAATCTAGACATAGATCTGCCATATGATCCAGCAATACCACTCCTGGGGATATACGCAAAGGAATGCGACACAGGTTACTCCAGAGGCATTTGCACACCCATGTTTATTGCAGCGCTATTCACAATAGCCAAGTTATGGAAATTGCCAAGATGCCCCATTACTGACAAATGGATTAAGAAAATACGGTATTTATACACAATGGAATTTTACTCAGCCATGAAGAAGAATGAAATCTTATTATTCACAAGTAAATGAATGGAACTAGAGAACATCATTCTGAGTGAGGTTAGCCAGGCTCAGAACAAAAATCATATGTTCTCCCTCATATTCGGACTTTAGATCTAGGGTAAATAGAGCAATGTGTTTGAACTTGGGTCACATGATAAGGGGAGAACACACACGAGAGGTATGGGGATAGGTAAGAAACCCAAAACATGATAGTATTTGATGTCCCCACTGCAGAGGAACTAATACAAAAACCTTAAAGCAACAGAGGTCAATATGAGAAGGGGATCAGGAACTAGTAAAAAGGTCAGTTAGAGATGAATCAACTTAGGATGTAACACATTTGTACATGGAAGCAATGCTAGGAATCTCTGTATAACTATCCTTATCTCAGCTAGCAAAAACTCTTTGTCTTTCTTATTATTGCTTTTACTTTCTCTTCAACAAAATTAGAGATAAGGGCAGAACAGGTTCTGCCTGGAAGCAAGAGGGGTTGCGGGGGAGAAGGAGGGGAAAAGTGGGAGAAATGTCCGAAACAATGTATACACATATGAATAAACGAATAAAAAAAATATGAGATGTTATATATATATGTAGTCTTTTTCATGAGAACGTCAGCTTTTCAGTGTTCTAGTCCATGTTAGATTGAAAATAAGAAAGCAGACAAGGCAAGTCTGCTTGCCTACTTCAATCTAGTTCAAGATTACAGATGGTCCTTGAACAGGGGCATTGGTTAAATGCTTGAACTTTACAGAGCCTCCTAGTTGCAAGTAGAATTAGAGCAGATAGAGTATGAACTGTCAACACAGCTAGTGATGAAAAGATATTGACTAAGTATACTTCAAAGCAAAGCTAGTCTTCCCATAGATAATTCAATAGTTTATACTTGCTAAATATTTATTTTATTGTAAACACAGCCTAGGCCCTACAGAAACAAGATGAATAGAACATACCTATCTAACATGAGCAAACAGCTTATCCATGTATACATGTATCCATTATATCCATGGGGTTATTGATTCCACAGTTCAAACTCACTTTGATGACAGTTCCAGATAATTTTGTAGTTTGTAGTGCAGAACATCCATTCCAGAATCACAGTCCTTTGTGGCCTGGGTGCGTGCCTCACGGAATATTGAATAAGGTTGGTGTTGTAGTAGTTCTCCCCTAGGAAGCCCACTGTGTAGTACATTCTGCATAAACTTTAAATGGAAATGTTTGTATTTCCCTTGGCAAGCAAATTGGACTGTGTATATTTGTGACCTAATCCAGATAAGACAATTACCAGACTAGAACTTTAGAGCATAGTGTAACTAATCGGCTTAATTAAGCCTGCTCTTTTAAACACCAAGCTTCTGGGGTGGCCAATGTGGGCTTCTAAAAGAGAAGGGTTTTTGATTGATTTCCAGAGTACCCAAGGATATGTTTTCTATTTTAAAACAATAAAGATGCAAACACTTGAGATAGCTCGATAGACTTCAAAATATAGTGATGTAACCATTTCCCAGAGAATCCCTCCAGAGAGCCTTTATCTTTATTTTTTTTCCTTGCTTTTATCTGTTGATATGATACATATTTGAATTACCATTACTATCCTTGGTGGCATTATTGATAAGTTTCCATAAATATTCAACCTGTGTGGGATGAAAAAACAAGTCTCAGTGTAGAATTCAGTGCATGGATGTTCTCTGGCATCGGTAGTGTTTGAGAAATCTTTAGTTCATTAACCTTATAAGTGGCACTGTGTTCTGTGTCACTACAACTGTCTCATGTTTGTGGTAGTAATCTGTAACATTAGAATAACAGGTAAAAGTAGAATGTGTTTGTGCTGTGACTCTGTGTGTCCAAGGGCAAAGTCTTCCATGTCCCTGGGTCTCAGGTTCCTCAACAGGAAGAGGACCAACAGTGATGCCCACCTTGGAGGATTGTGGAACCCACACCAGATAGTGTGTGTGAAAACTCTTAGCACAGTGCCTGCTATGAAACAGGCATTCTGCAAACATTAGCTGTTATTGGTATTTTTGTCTTTCACGTCTGTTTCTTTTGTTCAGGATGAAATTGATTGTGCGGTAAAGATGTTGTTGTCACTAAAAATGAGCTACAAAGCTGCAATGGGGGAGGATTACAAGGCTGACTGTCCTCCAGGAAACCCATCAACTGTGAGTAGTAGTGACCCAGATGCCACAGAAGCCAGTGAGGATTTTGTGGACCCATGGACAGTACGGACAAGCAGTGCAAAAGGCATCGACTATGACAAGCTCATTGGTACGACCTCCTCTTTCTTCCCCAAGAACAGTCTCAACATCTAAAAGTCACTCCATTGAGTGGATTCCATCAATGTTTACAAATTTAAGTGTTTGCAAGAATTTTTTTATGTTTTTTAATTTTATTTTTAATTGGCACACAATAATTATGCATACCTATGGGGTACAGTGTTACCTTCTGTACATGTATACATTAGAATGCTCATTGCTTCAAACATTTACCATTTCTTTTTGATGAGAACATTCAGTATCTTCTCCTCTAGCATTTTGAAATATGTAGCACATTATTATTGACTGTGTTCACCCTACTGCATATTCAGACACAAGAACTTATTCTTCCTGTCTCACTGTAACTTTGGACCTATTAACCAACCTCTTCTTTCCCTCTGCCTGCCCTCCCCCAACCTTTGATAGCCAATATTCTACTCTCTTATGAGATCAACTTTTTTAGATCCCACATATGATAAGATCATGCAGTGTTTGTTCTTCTGTGCCCTGCTTATTTAACTTGTCCTCAATGTTTATTTATGTTGTCACAAATGACAGTATTCCATTCTTTTATGACTGAGTACTATTCCCTTGTGTATATATACCATATTTTCTTTATGCATTCATCTGTTCATGGAAACATAGGTTGATTCCTTTTCTTGGCTATTGTGAATAGCTCTGCAGCAAACAGAAATGCAGGTATTTCTTGAATACACTGATTTCATTTCCTTTGATTATATGTGATATTTTAAATTTTTTAATTAATCATAAGTAAAGTGAAGTCTCAATACCAAGAAAAAATTAGATCCTAAAACCCTTGGTTTGTGCATTATATTTCCAAAGGATTGTTTTTAAATTAAATAACCATATAAAACTCATTTCAAAATAATAATCTGTAGTAGATAGCTTATTTCAAAATAATAGTCTAAAGTAGATAGGCTTTTCCCTTTTTTTGAGCAATGCGGAACTTGGGAAAGGTCTAATGAAATGGGCATCTTTGCTGGCAAGTCCTCACTGTCACGGCCTTCCTCAAAGGTCTTCCTGTTCATTCCTTTGAGAGCCAATACTCAGATCATTGACAATCATCAAAGAAGAAACAACTGGGGCTGGAGGTGGGGCTTAAGTGGTACAGTGCCTGCCTAGCAAGTGCAAGTTCAAACCCCAATACCACCAGGAAGAAGGGAGAAAAAAGAAAAAGAAAGATAAGTTTTTATCTATGTCAAAGCTATTTTCCATAATGTAAGTATAGACCATCGATGAGGGAAAATCTCCTGAGAACAGACATGAATTCAATTCAACAATTAAGGAATGTGTAAAGTCATGGTTGTCAGTAAATACAAGCTGTACCTTACTAAGCAGCTATATGTACCCACGTGTGTGTACATGTCTGCATGTATGTGCTTGCAAGAAGTTTCCATCCAGACTAGTTTCTAGGTATTTTTCCCATCAGAATCCAATCTCAGCCCAACCATGCTTTGTTCTATAATTTGTTCCCTGTTTTGCTGATCATGAGCTCAGCTGTTGTTTTAATACAAAGGACCTTTTACTTTGTGTGAGGAGAAGGACCACCAACCAGAGGCCTAAAGAGATTTGGGGTCATGAAGATTGTGCATGGATCACTAGCTTTTTCCCCTTCATTTCAGTCATATCTGGTCACTAAGCCTCCTGCTGCCTAAGAACTCCATGTCTTCTGTTTCCCAATTTTTTTTCCAGTACAATTTGGAAGCAGTAAAATTGACAAAGAGCTGATAAACCGAATAGAGAGAGCCATCGGCCAGAGACCACACCGCTTCCTGCGCAGAGGCATCTTCTTCTCACACAGGTCAGGGTCCTTTGCGTTCACAAAGTCATGAGATACTCTTCTCCCATGCTGCCTGGTGCCATGGTCAAAGTGGAACCCAGTTGTCAGAAACCTGGGGCCCACCCTCTGTGCTATCAGTAGTTCTTGTGGGACCATGCTATCCCTTCACCCTCAGGCCTTTACGTTGTTCATTTGTAAACTACCCACCTCACAAAATAGAGGTTAATTCCTAGGAGATGAGACTGATCCATGCCAAATTATGTGCTATAAATTATAAAACGTCATGAAAATAAGAGATTCATATGTCCAAGTTCGGTATTTCCCATGCAATAAACAGTAAACTTCCCTGTTCCTCCTGTGGTACCAGTCTGCCCATGAATGATAAAAAAAGAAACTGACAGAAGTACATAGAACAGAGTATCCTTGCCTCAGATCATAAATTCTGTGCAGATAACATCAAAAACATATGGGCAAGATCCAAGAGTTTCTGCCTCTCCCTCCCACATATCCTGGGGTTAGCAGGCCCGTTTTCTAAGCTCTGACCATGAGTTCATGACCCAAGGTCAGCATGTTCTGTCCTGCTTGTACTTTATGGTCACAGAAGAAGACCCAGGACAGAATTCCACATTCTGTACAAACGCTTCACTTTCTATCTGCAGAGAACTCCGGCCCTGCTCAACCCTGCCTCTAGGCAGTATATAATCAGTGTTTCCTTAATTGAGATTTAATTTGGTGAGTTTTAATATATTCACAGTGTTGTAGAACCATCATGATTATCTATTGCTAGAACATTTTTATCACCCAAAAAAGAAACCCTTACCCATTAGCGGTCACTCCCCATTTCTTCCTTCTCTACCTGCTGGCAACCACTCATCTGCTTTCTATCTCTATGGGTTGGCCTATTCTGGGAATTTCATATAAATGGGATCATAGACTATGTGCCCTTGTTGTGGCTTCTTCTATTTAGCATGGTTTCAAGGTTCCTCCATGTTGTAGCATGGTCAGTACAGCTTCTCCTCAACTTGCCATGGAGTTACGTTCCAATAAATCCTTTTGGGGGGGGGAAGGGGAGTGTTGAAACAGTCTCACTATGTGGCCTAGACTGGCCTCAAACTTCTCCTGCCAAGTGACTAGGATTACAGGTGTGCACCACCACACCTGGCTAGTCCATTTTACTTCATGTTTTACGTGTTTAGCATACCTTAAATAAGCTCAGAACACTTAGAGTAGCCTATAGTAGGGCAACATCACCTGATACAATACCTGTTTTATAATAAACTGTTGAATATTGAACTAAAAGTGAAGAATGGAATGATTATATGGGTACACTTTTGCATCGTTAAGTCAGGGATCATTTGTACTTCATTCCTTTGTATGTCAAATAATGTTTGTTTAAATGGATATACCCCATAACTTTATCCATTCATCAGTTGGTGGACATTTGGATTATTTTCACTTTTTTAACCAAAGAAAAAGCATTTATGCTGCTCTGAACATTCTGTACAATGTATAGGCTTTTGGGTAGACATATATTCTTAGTTCTCTTGAGCGTATACCTGGGAGTGGAATTGATGGCTCATATGACAACTTATATTTAACTTTTTGAGAAAGTGGCAAAACTTTTCCATAGGGACTGTATTGTTCTACATTCCCACCAGCAATATACACAGGCTCAGTTTCTCCACATCCTAACCAACACCTACCAACACTTGTTATTTTCCATGTTGTTGTTTCATAGCCATCCTAATAGGTCTGAGCAGTATCCCACTGTGGTTTTGTGGTTTGTATTTCATCATTGTAGTGACCAATGATGTTAAGCATCTTTTCATGTGCTTATTGGCTATTTTTGTATCTTCCTTAATAAGGTGTTTATTGCTCACACTTGTAATCCTAGCTACTCAGGAGGCAGAGATCAGGAGGATCGTGGTTCAAAACCAGCTCGGGCAAACAGTTCATGAGACCCTATCTCAAAAAAACCCTTCACAAAAAATAGGGCTGGTGGAGTGGGTCAAGATGTAGGCCCTAAGTTCAAGCCCCAGTACTGAAAAAAAAAAATGTCTATTTAAATCCTTTTGCATTTTTAATTGGGTATTTTTAGAGTTACAATAGGTCTTTATGTATTCTGAATAATAGCTTTTTATCAATAGAAGACTTGCAAATATTTGTTCCCATCATATAAGTTGTCTTTTTACTTTTTTTTTTCTATTGATAATGACCTTTGAAGTACAAAAGTTTTTAATTGTGATGAAGCCAGTTTATTTTTCTTTGATTCTTTAGCCAAATTCAAGGTCATGAAGAGCTACACCTGTGCTTTCTTCTGAGCATTTCATGGTTTTAGCTCTTACATTTAGGACTGTGGTACTTTTTGATTGTGTGTGTCTGTGTCTGTGAAGCAGGGCTCCAACTTCATTCTTCATTTGCATGTGGATATTCAGTTGTCCCAGCACCATTTTCTAAAAAAAACTATTCTTCACTTATTGAATTTTCTTGACATCATTGTAGGAAATCTTCTGAACGTTTTTTTGTTTGGTTGGTTGGTTGGTTTTTGGTGGGACTGGGATTTGAACTCAGAGCTTTGTGCTTGCAAAACAGGAACTCTATCACTTGAGCCACACCCCCAATCTGTTTTGCTTTGACTATTTTGGAGATAGGGTCTCACGATCTATTTGCCGTGGCTGGCCTCGAACCTTGATCTTCCTGATCTCAGCCTCCCAAGTAGCTAGGATTACAGGTGTGAGCCACTAAAGCCTGGCTTTGTACATGTATTTGAGAGCTTAGTTCTAGACTGTCAGTTCTGTTCCACTGATCTGTGTATCTTTCCTTATGCTAGCACCACAAGGCCTTGATTACTGTAGCTTTAAAGAAAATTTTGAAGTTAGAAAATTTGAGTTTTCCAGCTTTGTTCTTTTTCATGATTATTTTGGTATTCTGGGCCTCTTGCATTCCCATATGAATTAAGGCAGCTGGGGATTTTGATAGAGATTGCCCTGAATCTGTTTGGAGAGTATTGCCATCATAAAATACTAGGTCTTCCCCAAATGTGGGAAACTCGACTGCATAATTTGTGGTAGTGGGGGACTGCGTTCGCGCTCTCCCCTGGTTTAAAAAAAAAAAAAAAAAAAATACTAGGTCTTCCAATCCATGCACATGGGAGGTCTTTTCACCGACCCACATCTTTTATTTTCTTCAGGGATGTTTTATAGTTTTCAATGTAAAAGTCCTATGGTTCTTTGATTAGATTATTCTGAAGATTTTATGATTTTGATGCTATGATAAGTGGTATTTTTCTTAATTTTATTTCCAATTTGTCCATTGCTACTATATAGAAATATACAACTGATTTTCTGACCTTATATATCGAAACATTGCTGAATTTATGTATTAGTCCTAATATTTCTTTTCTTTACTTTTTCTTTTTCTTTTCTTTTTTTGTATGTGGATTCTAGATGATTTTCAATATACAAGGATTATGTCACCCGTGAATAAAGATAGTTTACCTATTTCTTTCCAGTTTGGGTTTCTTTTTCTTGCCTAAATGTTCTGGCTAGAACTTGCAGTATAGTATTGAATAGTAATGGTAAAAGTATGCATCCTTGTCTCATCCCCAATCATAGGGAGAAAGCCCTTAGTCTGTTACCATTGAGTATGTTAGCTCTGGTGTTCTGTAAATGGCCTTCATCATGTTAACCAAGCTTGCATCTTTTCTCCGAGTTTGTCGAGTGTTTTTTTTTAAAGGACATTGGAGTTATCAAATGATTTTTCTATTTCCTATTGATATGATCATGTGGATTTTGTCCCCTTACTAATAGGATGTATCACATTTACCAGTTTTTGAATATTGAATCAACCTTGCATTTCTGGGACAAATCCCACTTGATTGTGGTATATAATCTTTTTTACATATTACTGGGTTTAATTTGTGAGTTACTGAGGATTTTTATGTCTATATTCATAAGGGCTATACATCTATAGTTTTATTTTTATATCTTGGTCTGGTTTTGGTATTAGGACAATAGAGGCCTACAGAATAAGTTAGAAAGTAGTCCCTCTTCAGGATTTTTTTTTTTTGAGACAGGGCCTCACTATATAGCCTAGGCTGAGCTTGAACTCACAATCATCCTGCTCAAGGGTCCACGCTTGCTAGGCAGGCAGTCTACCACTTGAGCCACTTCACCAGCCAGATTCACCCTTCTGAGTGCTGAACTCAGATGCCTGGGTCACCACATCCAGCTCCTTGGACTTTCCTTTGTGGGAAGTATTTTTTTGTTTTTTGTTTGTTTGTTTATTTTTGTTTTTTATTACTAATTCAGTCGTTTTGGTTGTTAAAGATCCATTCAGTTTTTGTGTATCTTCTTGAGTCAGTTTCAGTGGTTTCTCTAGGAATTTGCCTATTTCATCAAGGTTACCTAATTCCTTGTCATGCAAGTATTCATAATATCCCCTAACAGTAGCCACGTCCCTTCTTACAACATTCCTAAGAATAACTATTTCTCTCTCACTCTATTTTACCCTTGACCATGTTAGCTCAAGATTTGCCATTTTGTTATTAAACTTTGTATCTTAATATTTTATGGTTCTCATTGCCCTTGTGACTTTGTTTCCTTCGGAGTACAATTCTGTAGGCTCTTGAGTCGGGGAGGAATAGGACTGGAGACATTTGCTCTTTCTCATATTTGAAAATGCCCCTCTACTTATTGTTGTCATCAGGGAAACCAGGTGTTAAATGAGACCTACCAGCCCTGTCAAGCTGCAAAGCTGAGCAGCTGACGGGTTCCTCTCCTCTGAGTGAGGTGAGGCCCTGATGGAAGTCTCCTGCACACTGCAGGAGCCCCTTGCTCCTTGCCCCATGGCCTGGCCCTAGTGACTTCTCAGATGCTACCTGTGACCACAGAAAAGCATCTTGTGACATCTGCATTTTCCTCTCTTTTTTTTTTTTTTTTTTTTTTTAATTTGAGCAGTACTGAGGTTTGAACTCAGGGCCTTGTGATGTTAGACAGGTGCTCTACCACTTGAGCCACGCTCCCAGCCCTTTTTGCTTTAGCATTTTTCAAACAGGATCTCACAGTTTTGCCCAGGCCTGCCTGGACTACTATCCTCCTATTTATACTTCCCATGTAGCTGGGATGACAAGTTCATGCCACCATGCCCAGGTTTTATCAGTTCAGATGGGAGCTCAGGAACTTTTTGCCCAGCCTGGCCTCAAACCATAATCCCCTCTCAATCTCTACCTCCTGGTAGCTAGGATTACAAGCATGAGCTACCACACCCACCTTACATTTTTCCTCTTTTCTGTAAACCCATAAAAGCTTAATTTGGTGAATTGTGAAAACCAAAGAATTTTCCTTATTTTAAAAGCAGTATTCAAAACTAAGTGCAACAAGCACATGGTGGTGCTCCTAGCTACTCTGGAGGATGAGGCAAGAGAATCAGTAGTTCAAGGCCAGCCTGGGAAATATAGCAAGACCCTGTCTCAAAATCAAACAGAAAAAGAAAAAAACTAAGCACAAAACCCAATGCCAGAGACTAGCACTGTGACCTTGGCTTAGGGTATGGGAAAAGGTACTGTTAAAATACTGTTATCAGACTCTGGGGAAAATGGCTCTTCCTCTCTTATTTGGAACACTTCACCAGAAACAAAGAGCATTAACACCCAGGAGTATTGGTTGGTTTCACACCTTGCTAAATATTAGATTCCCTTGGGAAGCTTATTAAATGTGCAAGTTCACCTGGGTGTGGTAGTGCATGTCTGTAATCCCAGCACTAAGGGAGACTGAGGTAGAAGGATTAGTTGGAGGCCAGCCTGGGCTGTGTACCAAGATCCTTCCCCAAAAAAATACAAATCACCTTAGATCTCTGGGTCTCCAGACAGAGGCCCAAGCGGGGAAGCAGCCCTGCCAAGTGATACTGATGCACAACTAGCAAGGAGGGAGGACCCTCATGTGCATGTTCTGTTGTACCCCAGTCTTTCTGGAGGAAGGACAGCTCCAGGATGTCTCACAGATGAGAACCCTGAGTCCCAAGCTGGCTGAGGTCATCTGAGTCAGATCCGCACTAGGGACTTTACCATGAACTCCCAGGGACATTACTTCTTGTCCTCAAGTCAGGCCTGCGTGGAACCCTACAGTTTTCCTGAGCTGGGTCTCTAGAGTCTCAGGACTTGATGAATCTAAACAAGGATTGCGTGGTGTTGGCCTGGTGTCCCCTAGGGAGGTGTCTAAAGCAATATATTGGGATATTCACATTCATCATTAGAGGAATTCCAGAAGAATCCCAGAGGCCACCTAACCATATCCATCTTTTAAACCCATAATTCCAAGCCTGTATGTCCTATCCTTTTAAAACAATCACTCACAGGAGAAACCATTCCAATAGAGTTTCTTGCCATTTTTATACCGTAATCGTCAAAGATAACAAACTCTAGTTATTATCTGTGTTGTTTTGTTTCTATCTTTATTTTTCATTTCCAAATGAGCTTTAGTGCTTTGATATGTTTTACAGAAAATCACATTATTTCCTTTTCTCTTTTTTCCATTAGGGATATGAATCAAGTTCTCGATGCCTATGAAAATAAGAAACCATTTTATCTGTACACAGGCAGGGGCCCATCTTCTGAAGCAATGCATGTAGGTCATCTCATCCCATTTATTTTCACAAAGTAAGTACTGCATCATGTGACTGTTGTCACTTTCCTAGTGAATCATGAGTAGCATTTATAGGCCATCTATAGAACTGGACAGACAAGGCTATTCCTGTTTGCCAAGCAGCCAGGATGTCAGGGCACTGGCACCTTTATAGCCTCTGTTCACTCCGTTTGTTCCTGGGCTCCTTCAGAGGATCAGGTTTATGGGGAGCACCATGTTGGAGTCAGCCAGACCTGCTTACTCCTCCCACTGCTCTTCGTCCATGTGAATGTAGACCTGATGTCATATCTTCCAGGTGGGTGGAATGACTCTCAGAAGGTTAAGGAAAGTCTCCAAACTAAAGTGTGAAGTCTACTGGCACAAAGCCTAGCAACAGGCTTCCTAGTCAGATGTGCCGGTAGAGTGTATCATTATCGATAGTGACACTTCGGGCGTGGTAAAATCATGAGATTTTTGTGGGCAAGCATGTGTGTTCACATGCAAAGTGGCATTCTTCCACAGGAACAATTGCCCTTTCCTGCCCTACTCCTGTGACTCTTAGGTGACCACAGAATATGCTTGCTATGTCCTACTTTCTCTGTAGATGCCACAGAATGTGTTCAGCATGTCCTATGTTCTCAAGTATTCCTTATGTGTCTGCACAATATGTTCAATGTGCCCTCATTCTCCCCTGTCCCTTAGGTGGCTCCAGGACGTATTCAACGTGCCCTTGGTTGTCCAGATGTCTGATGATGAGAAGTACCTGTGGAAGGACCTGACTCTAGATCAGGCATACAGCTACACCGTGGAAAATGCTAAGGACATCATTGCCTGTGGCTTTGACATCAATAAAACTTTCATCTTCTCTGACCTTGAATACATGGGGTAAGGAGGAAACACCTAACTGCCTTTTGAGTAAGTAAGTGCAGACATCATGTCATTGTGACCACAGTGAAACCTGAAATGTCCAAAACAGGCTTTAAGATCTAGTAAATATTTTTCTTCTTTCATTAAATGTTATGATCATGTTTATTGATTTTATTTCCCAATAAGAAAGTGATATGTATGCATAGAAAGGATTAAGTAATGTCAGATGCAACCGTTCCCTTTATAATTCAAAAATTTCAAATATGCACCCAAGCATGTCAGGTGGCATCTGAGATTGTCCTCCTCAGCTGTGACAGGAAAGTATTTCTGCATTGTTGTTTCTGTCTATTGATAGCCAGTCTACAGAGTTCTAATGCCTTTCTCATTTTCAATGTAACGTTTTCCTTACAGAGGAAAGACTCACTGGCTAAACAGTTCCCTCACAGTCTAGTTTCTTAAATCAGTCACTTAATAGTTCAACATATTTCATTCTGAAAATCCTTGGCTTCATCCCAAATGATTACCAAGAAATGTTAAATAAATAAATAAGACTTTGGAGCCAGGCATGGTGGTATACACCTGTAAACTCAGCTACTTAGGAGGCTGAGGCAGGAGAACCTCTAGTTCGAGGAGCCACATGTCAAGATTCCCATCTCAAAAGAAAAGAAGACTGGTCAGTTATCATAGAAAGAATGCTGTTAAAGCTGGGTATGGTGGTGTACACCTGTAATCCAAGGCAGATCGCAAGTTCGAGGACAGCTTAGGCTACATAGTAAGACCTTGCTGAGCAAATATTTCTTGAAGGATGTAGCTCAGTGGTAAACACATGTATGTGTAAGGCCCAGGTTCGTTCCCCAGCACTGCAAAGGGAAAAAGTCTTGAGCGCTGAAGACAAGATCTCCCTCACAGGAACTGATTCGGCAGGTTGAGGCTCCATCTACTGTGGGCCATGCTCTGAGCTCAGGGCCTTCCATGTTTTCTCATAGCAATCGCCAGGCCCAGGCAGGTGTGAGGAATACCACAAGGGCCATGTAAGTACAAACTAGCTTGGTGCTTACATTTCTCCCAGAATGTTCCCTTTTTTGTTTGTTTTGGTTTTGGTGGTACTGACTTATGTATGGCTCAAGCTTGCTAAGCAGGTGCTCTACTGCACACTTGAGCCACACCCCCTACCCTTTTTTTTTTTTTTTTTTTTTTGTGGTACCAGGGTTTAAACTCAAGGGTTTGTACTTGCTAGGCAGGTACCATACTGCTTGAGCCACACCTCCATCCCTCTTTGTTCTAATTATTCTGGAGATAGAGTGACTGCAGTTCTCCTATTTTATGCTTCCCCCGTAGCTTGGGGATGACAGGTGAGCACCAGTGAGTCTTAACTATTGATTGAGATTGGAGTGTCATTGTGTGCCTGGGCTGGGCTGGCGCCTAAGCACAGTCCTAGTCTCAGCCTCCCAAGTTGCTAGGATTGCATGTGTGAGCTACCGACACCCATTCCCAGCCGTTTTTTTTTTTTTTAAGCTTTAGTTCATTTTCTAATAGAGTCTCACATTTTTGCCTGAGCCAGCGTGGACCTTTATCCTCTTGTTCACACCTCCCTCATAATTAGAATTATAGGTATGAACCACCCCTGACCTAGGAATGTTCACTTTTATAAGAACTTGCAACTGAGTAGCAGCTTTGTATCCACTGGGAACAATAGATGCTATGATAGGAAATCTGGCTTTATTATCAGCTAGGAAAACGATTTTCTAATTTTACTTATTACAGTTTTCTTAAAATCCTGTCTCTTATTTCTGCCATATGAGTATAGAGGCTCTATCGTATCCTTGAAGGAAGGAAAATGAATCTGAGTTCAAGTTCTGGCACCTCTGTTTAGTGGCCTTGTCATTGTTCTTATCACTTTCATGGCAATTCACTTCATCATTCTCACCTCATTTCTTAAGTAATCTGATTCAAATGCTTGAACCTCAGCACAGACATGCCATGGATTATAGCAAAGCTGCTGACGTGGCGCAGTAACTGGTATTTTTGGTTTTTGAGCTGGGGGTCCCACTGTGTTTCCCAGGCTGGCCTCTTATCTCCTGGATTCAAACAATCCTCCTGCCTCAGCCTCCTGAGAAGCTGGGGCTAAAGGTGCTCACCCTTGTACCCAGCTTCTGTAGTTTCTGTGAAGCCTCTTTCCACCCACATTCAGTCCCTCTTGTCCTTACCCCCCCACACCCCACAGCCCCTGGTCTTCTGAAAGCACATGTCTGATCTTATCTTCCACTCTCATGCTTTTCCCAGTGCTCCTTCATCATACGATGAAGTACACTCTCCCTTTTTACTTTGTACATAAGCTGTTCTCATTTGGTCCCTGTGTTCCTGTCCAGCGTCACTGCCATCTCCAGCTACATGGAACAATTTTCAGTTCCATATACCTCACCTTTGTAAATGCTGTGCTTTGCCCAGAATTCCTGTCCCCTCCTCTGAGCCCACCGTACCCCAACATGGCCAACTCCATCACTGTTCCTTCAAGCACAGGGTTAAGCAACCCCTTTTCCTGGGCACTTTCCATCCCCACAGCCAGATGTAGACCCTCAACTCTGTTCCCGGCACTTGTCCTCACCCTGTCCCATCTGGTGATAAACCCATAGTTCCTTCATCTTTGCTCTCCAGGGCTCTCCTGGGTCTGTAAACAAAAGGAGCAAGGCCAAGTTCTTCCTCACTGAGCTTAAATGTCAGTGACTGGACAAGAGCAACTGACTATAATAAGTTCATAAAGACAGGTACACACTGATGGGGCAGTGAACTCTTGAATTGTTCACATGAAGAGACTAACCTGTGATCAGCCCCTCTTTCAACACATTCTGAACATTGCATTTGTGACACCTGTTTCCCAAGTGTCCCTGGTATTTTCAGCATGTGGCCATCCTCTGTCTTGGCCCAATAAGAACTTCCTCTTTCTTTATGAGCACAGAGTAAAGATTTTATATATATATAGGGCAATATTGGGGTTTGAACTCAGGGCCTTCTGTTTCCCAGGCAGGCATTCTTCCTATGTTTCTGACACCTGGTAGGGTTGGAGAAAGAGCTGCTGAGGATAGCAGTCGAGGGACTGGATAAAAAGCTGCACAGCTTCTGCCCCTCTGTGTTTGCTTGTCTTGGGCCCAGTTCCCTCAAGTAGCAACAGTTCTGGGCTCATTTCCACACCCCTCACCATCTAGAAGAGAATCGTGTTGTTTAGACCAGCACAGTGTCAGTCCTGTAGGGCAGGGTGCCCTGCAGTGACATAGAGCGGTAGCCAGATACTGGAGGACCATCTGCACTGAGGCAACTCTCCTTTGTCCTGCACCTGTCAGTCCCTGTGGTACACTCCACCTAACCTCCAGATGGACATGTCTCCACCATACTGTCTCCACAGAAGCCCATGGGGCTCCTGCCCTTACGCTCCACACTACACTGAGCTGCTGATCCAGCAAGATCCACACTCATGTCAACCCCTAGAGCTCTGAATCTGGCTCTGTTCTGCCCTTATTTGTATGTCTTCATGCTGGCTTCATAGATAAAGCTGTGGCTGCTGTAGGTACCTGCTTACAGATGGCTTCTCCACACCTTCCTGAAGCTGCACATGTGTTAACCAAGTGTGGTCCCTAGTGCTGGCATGTGCTTTTTTTTTTTCTTTTGCTGGGGGGTGGGGGGAGTGGTAGTTATTTTCAGATAGGGTCTTGAATTTTTGCCAGGGACCAGTTTTCTTTCTCCCTATACCTCCCATCTGGCTTGGATTACAGGCATACCACCATGCTCAGCTTCTTGGTTAAGATAGGGTCACACTAACTTTTTGCCCAGACTTGCCTCAAAATATGATCCTTCTGATCTCCACCTCTCAAATAGCTGGAATTATAGGTATGCACTACTATACTTGACTACATCCAGTTTTAATGACTGCTACCTTGTTCTCCTTAGACACCACTCCCCCAGCACAGATTTGACTCTTCCTGTCTCTGCAGGAGGAGCCCAGGCTTCTATAAGAATGTGGTGAAGATTCAGAAGCATGTCACCTTCAACCAAGTGAAAGGCATTTTCGGTTTTACTGACAGCGATTGCATTGGTAAGAGTTGGCTGCTGCTCTGAACCCCTTTTTCTCAGCAAGGTGAGCAAAGCTCAGAGGAGAACAGGCACTTGTAAGAGTCTCAGGGTGGTGGCAACAAAGCCTAGGCTAAAGTAGTTGGGCAACTTACTGTGGGGCAGCTGCTAGAGATAGAACCCAGGGCCTCACAAATGCTAGACAAGCACTCTACCACTGAGCCACCTCCAGCCCACATATCTGGTCTTTAAAATATCTGCTCCTAGGACTTCAGCTGTCTCTGAGATGTTAACATTTACAGTTTATCTATTTAAATAAGACACCAAGATGGGTTTTCTCTGAAATATTAAGGGCTAGTATAGCATTCAGCCACTTCTCTGGACTGTAGGAAACCATATTTCAGGAAGCAAGACTTGCCCCTACCCTTAGTCACTCACTGTAAGGTATGGAAGAAAGAGAAAGGTAAGGCTGATTTGGTGCAACCCCAGTCACTGTGAGGTTTGTTGCAGCCCAAGGGAGATGCAGGAGGGCAAGCTGGGCTTGCCACTTGCTTGAAGGAGCCCGTAAGGGATTAGACTGACCGGCCTCCAGAGCCCTTCCTACCCCCCACCTCGCTCTCCTTCCGTGGCTCTTCTGCAGCCCTGCCACCATTGATGCACACAATGTTTGCCTGCTGTGTGCACAAGTTTGCATCCCTCTCCTTTACCTGCCCCTGACTTTCAGATGCAGTAGCCTTAGTAGGCTCGTACCTCCTTGAGGCTTGTGTCTGAGCCTTATCCCCTCTTCCCTCTACTTTTCTAAAATGGTTTGGTCAGATTCACTCCAGTAATTGGAACATGAACCCTGTCTTTTGAAAACATAGTAGGACCATACCACAGAGAAGGCTGTGTTGAGTGATTAAGTAGGCTGACTCTGAGACCCAGGTGTGAGTACTGGCTCAGCCATTTACTTGCTATATGCCAGCCTTAGCAAGCCAGGTAAATGGTGTGAGCCTGAGCCTGCACATTGGTAAGATGGGCAAGAGGAGCCTCCCCACAGAGCTGTGACAAGTGCTGAGCTCCTGCAGGGCCCTGAGCACAGAGCCTGACATGAGGTCCTAGAAATGGCCACCACTGCACTGAACCCTTGATAGTAGCACCGGTGGCCATGGCAGACTCCTGCCTCGTCTCCCCACAGAAAGATAAGACCCCTGGAGATGGTATCTCTTTCTGAAGTGGATAGAAAAAGAACAAAATTCAACAATTAGTTGAACCATGTTAATTGACTTTTCTTTTTGACTCTAAAATCAGGCAACATTTCATCACAGAATGAGTGTTTAGGTGAACTGAGCAGAAGTTGGTTTTATAGATGAAAGGGCTTTAGCAGATCAGAAATAAGCCAGGCACAGTGGTACACACCTGTAATACCAACACTTAAGAGGCTGAGGCAGGAGGATTGCAAGTTTAAAGACAGAGTGAGACCCTGTTGCAAGAAACAACCCAAAAAAGGGCTGGAGGTGTGGCTCAAGTTATAGAGCAACACGAGACCCTAAGTTCAAACCATAGTATCACAAAAAAATAAAGCCAAAGGGGAAAAAAAAACCATGATGGGGAGCAACCTAACTGTCCAATGGCTAGAGAATGGTTCAATAACATAGATAAGCTGGCAGGAAAGAACATACTTAATGACAACATTGGTAAATATTAAAGTGAAAAGGACCAGGAAAACATTAGATATGGTATGATTACAACCAAAGCTCATAGTGGAAAATGTAGAGAGGAAACAGATGGAAAGAGACACAAATTGGGCTGCTAATTTCTTATTCTCTACTTTTCTATATTTTTCAGATTTTCTTTAATGATTATTACTTTTACAATGGGGAGAAAACCTATTCTTGCTTAATCCTTTAACTGGGTTAATTAACCAGAACAGCAGGTGGCCTCATGTATGAAAATGTTCCCCCTCACTTTCAGGGAAGATCAGTTTTCCTGCCGTCCAAGCTGCTCCTTCCTTCAGCAACTCATTCCCACAGATCTTCCGAGACAGGACAGACATCCAGTGCCTCATCCCCTGTGCCATTGACCAGGTCAGAAGTTCTGTGAGCCAGGGACTGGCTGCAGGTTTCTCTGACTCTTTACTGGGAGGTAGGGTTGAGTGTTGGAGGAAGAATGAGCCCATCTCTTGAAACTAGCAGAAGCCCAAGAGTCTCCCACGAAGATCTCTGGGGCTGCTCGTTAGCCAAAGGCTGCGTTTGTTCAACATCCTCATCCAAGCCCTCTCCCCACAGGACCCTTACTTTAGGATGACAAGGGATGTCGCCCCCAGGATTGGATATCCTAAGCCAGCTCTGCTGCACTCGACCTTCTTCCCTGCTCTGCAGGGGGCCCAGACCAAGATGAGTGCCAGTGACCCCAACTCCTCCATCTTCCTCACTGACACGGCCAAGCAGATCAAGACCAAGGTGAGCAGCACCCTGGCCAGGGGCCACAGTGGGAATAGAAAGGCAAACAATACACACACACACACACACACACACACACATTCTCTGTTGTTCTGGTCCTTTTGGCATCGGCAACACAGCAATGCCAAATTCTATAACCAACATCTGTCTCCTGCATAAATTGAAGCAGTCTGACCTGTTTCCAGATAGCGGGTAAATTGGAAGGGGGGTTGTTTGTTTGTGTATTTTATTGTTCCCTTTCATTATAGTAAAAATCTGAGGGGTTGAGGAGGTGGGGCAGTTGTTTCGTTTTTTTGATTTTTTTCTTTTCCGCCTTTCTTAACACCTTGTTCTAAAAGCAAAGTCACAACAAGTCATAATTAATGAAGATGTTATCAAGCAATAGAAAAGATTTGCCTCTATTTCTTAGCACCAGGCATCAAGCCACTTGCCTTGATTGTCTTCTGGTCTTCATTCTGCCTGGAGCTAGTGGTACTATTCCTTCTGAAGGTGAGAACCATAAGACTGAGAGGATCGTTACATGGCCCAGTTTGCACCACCAGAAATCCAAGTCCTGCTCTCTAGCAGGAGCAGCCCTTACTGGGGCCGCTATCTTGTGGAGACCCACTAACAGGATGGTCTTGTCCAGCTGTGCCCCACCCTGTGTGCCTTAGGCACTTGATAAATATTCACAAGTCACTAGAAAAGCTAAAAATAGAGATTAGTTTGTTCTTCCTTATTTTTCATGGCACCAGTTCTGTGGCTCAGGGCTAAGCTGATAGCATGTGCATAACCCCTTATAGTTACTTAAAGCCTTATAACCACTGACATCTCCTTTGGACCCAAGTATATGCTTGCAACTTGGAAGATTACAGTGGAGTACAGGGAACTGAGTCTAAGGCATATGGTGAAGCCATCTGAGTGCCCTCTGGAAAGTCCCGTGAAGTTTCTGGTTGACAATGAAGGACCTTTCATATCCAAACCTTAGGAAGTGGCCTCTGCTAACCCTCCCCCTCACTTGGAAGCTGGTGTAATCATGGATTTTTCTTTCCCTTTCACTTTTGGCTGAAACTTCCAGAGCATAGAGTAAAGAAGTGGGGCGGGAAGTACCAGCAGGGAAGTCATCTGTGTGTTTCTGAGAAGTTGTTTAATGGCTCTGGGCATTTTCATTTCCTCAGAACCAGCAGAGGCCCAAGGGCTGGGTGATGGAATGGGCAACTCACATGGGACCTGGCCAGTGCTAGTGCTTTAGCTCCACTAGAAGCCAGGCATGCCAGGAAGTCTGCTGGGCCCCACCACTCCTGCCACAGGAAGCAGGTTCTTGACATGCTGGGCCTCACTTTCTGCACTGGTTAAAGAGGAAAGCAATACAGAGTTCTCTGTGTTGCGTGGGAGTGGGAGGGACATTTGTCATAGCTGTCACAGCCACCATTTGCAGCACCTCTGTACGTGAGGGGCCATGCAGTTGATGGCTACACCTGTGCATCCTGGCACTGTGCTGGAAACTTGTCCTCATTTCTCAGACAAGGGCAGGAAACTGCCTGGATCCTTTGACCCCTTTTGTTTGTTTTTACAATACTGGGGGTGGAATGAATCCAGAGCCTTCCCGTGCTAGGCAGGTCAGACGCTCTGCTGCTGAGCCATACCCCAGTCCCTTTTACCATCCCATGAAAGGCCCTCAGATGTCCTTAGTCTCCCTCAACACTGCAGCTTCCCAGTCTCAGCCCAGCTGGGCCTAGGAGTATGACCCCCTGGTGCCTCCATCACACACCAGCATTTGCCCCAAGGGCACTTAGACTCCAAGAGAGTCCAGTACTTGGTGGTTTTTTTCTTCTGACATTTGTTTGCTATTTTCCAGTTTTTGTAGTTTGCACAAATGATTTTTTTTTTTATTGTGCTGGGTAGGGGTACATTGTGGCATTTACAAACGTTCTTACAATATATCAAATATATCATACTTGAATTCACCCCCTCCATCTTTTCTTTATAATAACTTCTTTTGGTCGGGGGATGCTGGGAGTTGAACCCAGGGCCTCTGGCATAGCTTTGTTTTGTTTTGGGGTTTGGGGAGGTTTTGTTTGTTTTTCGGTACTGGGGATTGAACTCCTGTCCTTCACCTTGAGCCACTCCACCAGCCCTTTTTTTGTGAAGGCTTTTTTCAAGATAGGGTCTCACAAACTATTTGCCCACACTTCCTTTGAACTGCAATCCTCCTGCTCTCTGCCTCCGGAGTAGCTAGGATTATAGGCTTCAGCTACCGGTGCCCCGCTGGGGTTTTTTTTGTTTTGTTTTGTTTTGTTTTGTGCGACTGGGGTTTGAACTCAGGGCTTCACACTTGAAAAACAGGTGCTCACCACCTGAGCCACACCTCCAGTCTAGCTCCAGTTATTTTGGAGATGGTATCTTGTGAACTATTTCCCTGGGCTAACTTCAAACCTCAATCCTCCCTGTTTCAGCCTCCCAAGTAGCTAGGATTACGGGAATGAGCCATTGGCACTCAGCTCATAGCTTTGTTTTTAAGGACAGTGAAGATAAACTATCACTTGTAGTCTTCAATCTTTCAGCCCCCATTACTCCACACAACCCCAGCCACATTTTGCCCTGGGGCCTTGCCCCAGCAGCTCAGCTTCAGCTCCATCTGACATGATGCTAAGCATTGCCCCAAAAGGGAGCCAGTTCCTTTTGACTTTGCCCCTACTATTCCTCTGCTACTTCAGGAGATCCAAGATAGCCACTTAGTAATTGGCTCAGGAAGGCTTCCCAAATGAATCAACTCAATGTGTTAACTCTGTCCACCCTTTTCCCCATTAAAAAAAAAAAAAAGTGATATTTGTAAGTAGTGGGTTTCTCAAATATTCATTGAAAGAATGTGGAAAGAACTTTATCTGTCCTGCTGCGAAAACTGGCTATGTACTTGCAGAAGACTGAAACTATCTCTCACCCTGCACAAAAAAATCAACTACAGATGGATCAGAGATCTTAATGTAAGAGCTGACACACTGAAACTATTATGGGAAAAATAGGGAAAACTCTGGAAGACAGAGGCATTAATTATTTTCTGAATAGCACTCCAGTTGCCCAGGAAATAAGAGCAAGAATTGATCAATGAGACTGCAACAAATTGAAAAGTTTCTGTTCATCAAAGAAGCAGTTTCTCAAAAAACTAAAACCTACCTTATGACCCTGCCATACCACTTTTTGCCATATATCCGAAGGAGTGCAAATCAATATACAAGAGAGATACCTGTGGCAGGCATTGGTGGCTCACACCTATAATTCTAGCTACTTGGGAGGCAGAGATTAGGAGGACTGAGGTTTGAGGCCAGCCCAGGCAACGTTGTTCTCAAGCCCCTCTGTCAAAAATACCCAACCCAAAAAAGGACTGACAGAGTGACTCAAGTGGTAAAGCCCATGCCTGGCAAGTTGCCAGGCCCTGAGTTCAAACTCCAATACCACAAAAAAGAGAGAGAGAGAGACATCTGCATATGCATGGTTTTTGCAGCTGCCTTCACAACAGCCAAACTGTGGAAACAGCCAAGGTGCCCAATAACCAATGAATGAATGAAGAATCATATATGTCCCATGACATAATACTCAACCATAAGGAAAAGTTTCACTAGAGTGGAACTGGAGATGTCCGTGCTCAGCAAGAGAAGCCAAGCTCAAAGGCCAAATACTACTGTTCTCGCTCCTTTGTGGAGCCCACACATACATGATGGCACCTGAACGCATATGGGAGACTAGGGTGGCCAGCAGGAAGGGGAGAGGGAAAAGAAAGGGCGCTGAGAGGGAAAGGATGGAAGTGTGCTACCTCTGTCCTATGAAGACAGCGCAATAAAACCCACCAGCTACTGTTTGAGAAGGGGCAAAGGAGTGGAGATGGGAACAGAGTGGAGGGTGAACGCATGGATGGGATTATCACAATGAAATTCTCTTGCATTATTAAGAGGGGAAAAAGGATTTTTGTCTATCCTTTCAGGCTTTTTTTTTTCTACCTCTTGGCCATAATTTCCCCCAAGATTATCTTCAGTGGTTCCTAAAACCCATTTTGTAGTTTCTATTTTTATTTATTCTTTTGTTTGTTTTGAGACATGGGGTCTCACTATGTTCTTCAGCTAAGTCTGGAACTTCTGGGCTCAAGCAACCTTCCCACTTCAGCCTCCAGAGTGGTGGGACCACAGGTGCATAGGCACCATGCCTGGCTCCATTTTGTTGGTTTCTGAGTTTTAGTTCAGCACCTAAAACTCAGAAACCAACAAAATGAAAACTTGCCGATGGGCCCTTCCTGCCTATTTGTTTGGTTTTGCTCCCCTTCTCTAGCAGTGTTCTCAGGTCTCTTTGCTCATCTTGTTGGGATTGAGTGCTGTTTTTTTGACATCTGTGAATAAAGCACTGCCTGGGCCCCTCCCTGGTCAGCTGAGTACTCTGAAGGGTAACAGTACCCTAATCCTTTTTCCAAAGCTCATCCTCTAAGAACACTTCAGGACATCTCCTCAAATTTCTGCCCCATCAGGGCTTAGATTTCCCAGCTGTTCTCTTTAAAATTTGGGGAATGGGGGCTTCAGCACTAATCTGCCCTCCTCCTGCCTGGTCCTCCTCCACCATGAGCCCCACTGCTGCTTGGACCAGACCTGGTGGGAAGGAGCAGTTGAGGGCCCTCCCACCATCTGGAGTCTCAGCTTCACTCTGGTCCTGAATCCAAGGTCAGTCACTGACTTGACTTCCACCACTTGGGCCCCTGGCCAACATCCAGGTGTAGGATGGCAGTCTAAAGAAACTTTCTGTGTTGCACAGGTCAACAAGCATGCATTTTCTGGAGGGAGAGACACTGTGGAGGAGCACAGGCAATTTGGGGGCAACTGTGATGTGGATGTGTCTTTCATGTACCTGACCTTCTTCCTGGAGGATGACGACAAGCTTGAGCAGATCAGAAAGGTAAGACAGGAGCCGCAGGCAGGCCACCCCAGCCTTAGTGTTTGTCCAGCTTCCTCAGTTTCCTCAGTTGCCTGGCTTTAGGAACAGGAACCAGGTACCATGTTGTACTCTTGTGGCCCCAGCTACTCAGGAGGCTGAGGCAGGAGGTCTCTTGTGCCCAGAAGTTTGAGGCCTGCCTGGGCAGCATGGGAAGACCCAGTCTCAAAAAGAAAACAAAGAGACCGAATAAGGTCACTTATGTTTTTAACCATGTTCTGAGAACCCAGTGAACAGACAGCTCAGGAAAGGGAACATACAGACTGCTATTTATTTAGTACCAGCACAGAAAGAGAGAAATGTAAGTCAAAACAAAGACAACCAGCCAGTTGGTGTCTTTGACACCCAGCTAATTTCACCTAGGAAATTAGCAGGGCGTATTTCAGTGGCTATGAGCCAGACACCTGAAGACGCTGTTGTGAGTGTCCCCAAGCATGGCAGCTTGGCCTTGGGAACAAAGCCTGAAAAAGTCTCAGGTTAGCCTCAGATTTTCCATTTCTTGGACTCTTCCAAGGAAACAATTCAGAATAAGAAAAGGCTTTCCACAAAAAAGCATTGAAAATGGTAATTGCAAAAAGTTCAAAACACACTGCAATAGAGGAAATGTTAGATTAGAAATGTTACAAGTAGAGCTATAGGTACACACCTGTAATCTCAGCACTTGGGAGGCAGAGATTGGAAGGACAGAAATTTGAGACCAACTCAGGCAAAAAGTTTGTGAGAACCCATCTCAGCAAAAAAGCTGGGTGTGGTAGAACACACCTATCATCCCAGTTAAGCGGGAGGCATAAATAGGAGGATCATAGTTTGCCAGGCCAGGGGTCAAAAAGGATACCCTATCGAAAAATAACTTGTTTTTGTTTTTGTTGGTACTTTGGTTTGAACTCGGGGCCTCATGCTTTCAAAGCCAGCTCTCTACCACTTGAGCCAACTCTGCCAGCACAAAAAATAGCTAAAGCAAAAGGCTGAGGGTATGGCTCAAGTGGTAGAGTGCCTGTCTTGCACACGTAAGGCCCTGAATTCAGACCCCTGTACCTCAAAAAAAAGCAATTCGTTGGAGTGGATTATTACGCACATGTAAACTATTTAAGAGTTTTAGGGACACAGGAACATATGTGTCAGATAGTGAAAGATACAAAATTAAAAATGCAGTGAGTGGCCAGCTATACTTAATAAAACACACAGGGGAAGGAAACCCAAAAGAAAATATGCCAGATGCAAGTGGTTGTCATCCACCTCTGGCTGTTGAACTGCAGGTGAGTTTTCTTTACCTTGCTACTGCCTTGTGGCTTAGACCTTTATTACTTCTCTTTAGGGAGTGGGTATTACGTTTACAATCATAATAAAAAACAGAGATTTCACAGGAGCCAGCAAGGCTAGGAGGGACAGTTGTGTGCTCATTGTGCTTGGGTGGGGTGGGTATTATGTCCCCACTGGCCCTTTTACTAGGACAGGGCAAGCCACAGCTAACGGTCATAGCCAGGTTTTAGCCATTTTAAGAAAAGTACACATTACTGTCACGATGGTAACAACAGCCCACATTGTGAGGGCCACCCATGCCTGTCTACAGGTGGCAGGGGCTGAGCTGGAGTTCCAACTGGGGCATGCAGACCCACTTTTCATGGTACCTTGCTCCTTCCTGGCAGGATTACACCAGCGGAGCCATGCTCACTGGTGAGCTCAAGAAGACTCTCATAGATGTCCTGCAGCCCCTGATAGCTGAGCACCAGGCCCGGCGCAAGGAAGTCACTGATGAGATGGTGAAGGAGTTCATGACTCCTCGGCAGCTGTCCTTCCACTTTCAGTAACGCTTGTTTTCTATTTGCATATAAAGTTGCATATAAAGTTTATCCGTAATCCTAGCCCCATCAAATCAAAATCCCTTTAGGCTTCTGTCACATGGTAATTCTTGGACTGGTCTATAAACCCTTTGTGTGTTCTAGATACTGTTTCTTCCTGTAAAGTCTATCCTTCCTGTTTTGTGGACAAATGCTGTGGGCAATCGGTGCTGCTAGGGTTGCATGGTCAGATAGAAAATCCAGCTGTGAGTCTCTCCCACAAAGAGCCCAGGCTGTGGATCCTCTGTGGCCCACAGAAGACTGTCCATCTGAGAACAGCCTAGGTTCCAAATATACTTCCAAAATGTACTCTGTAAAGAAATGTGTTCTAAGTGAGATGTGATGTTACCTCCCTGTAACCCCAGCACTTAGGGAGACAGAGACAGGAAGAGCCAGAGTTCCAGACCAGCCTGGGCTACCTGTAAAGATCCTGTTTCAAAAAAATATGTTGTATGTATACATATGTGGAATCAAAATGTCATTATTATAAAACTAAAAAGTGTTATGAATAGTTGATGTGGGGAAGTATAATGGGCAAAAGATGTGTTTTAGGCCCTTCCCCAAAAAAAAAAAAAATTGATACCTAAAACTGATAATTTTGCTTTACTAAGAAAATCACCCAGCTTTGGGCTGGATATGTAGGCCAGTGGTAGAGCAACTTCTTAGCATGCATAAGGCCCTGGGTTCTATCCCCAGCACCACAACAGAGAGAGAGAGAGAGAGAGAGAGAGAGACCACCCAACTTTAAAGCTGCTTTTACCATTGGACATGGGTAGAGTTTGGGCAGGTTTATTAGCCTGAGTCTTGTGGGTGAAGCTTTCCAGTTGACTTAACTAAACTCCAGACCATGCATGCATGCCATCCACTCCAGGAATCATGCGCTTTGCCCTTACCGTACTAACTTTTTGCCAAATACCCTCACTCCACCATGCACAATCCAGTGGCTCCCCACACACCCTCTGTAAGATGCTAAGGATGGTCTGTTGCCTTTGCAGATGCTTTTGTTTTGACACTTGACTGAAGTGGAAGTCAGCACAGAGCAGTGCCCTGGCTGTCCCAGGCCAGTGGATATAGCTAGAGAAAAGCTCGGGTGGAGTCCTCCTGGCCCTGGCGTTTTACCTGTGGGCGGGCCACATTTAATCACGTACCACATGTAGTCTTGACAAAACAGAAGCCATTTCTCAGGGAAAGCCCCTGGTTGAAGTATCTGTTCTCTCCAAAGGCACAGGGTCCACTCTTGAGTGCTCTGTCCTTGTGCCGCCCACTGGTAAAAATAAACTTCTTTTGCTCCTGTCTGTGTGTCTGTTGCTGTCTGTTGTCTCTGTCCAGAAAGACTGATGAGGTTGTGGCAGCCTTGCTGCAGGCCCAGCCTGTGTTACACCCACTGCTAAGACCCATAATTTTCCCCTTGGCCCTCAGAAGGTGCCCTTAATTCTGTGGGCCACATGGGGAGGAAAAAGCACTGAAAATCCAACAGCACTGCGAGCAGGCTCCCCAGAGTCAATTCATGTCAGGCATCACTCATTCAGGGAAACTGCCCTTCTATTTTTCTACCCTTGCCAGTCTACCTGGTGCTGGATTTCCCACCTCATTTGTTTGATTTTCCCATCAGCTTGAAAAGAATGCAATTGGATGCTCTGTTTTTCAGAGGAAAGACAGGCGTTCAGTGGCACCGCTGCATAGCAATGGAACCAGAATAAAAAGGGCCTCATTCCACCAGCCCGAACTCATTTTGTCACTGGGAAAACTGAGGCTTCAGAAAGTGAAGCTTGACTTGTCCAAGGCCACACGGTGGCATTGTGACAGAACACTGCCCTAACTCTTAGTGTTAAGGGAACAAGGCTCCAGTTCTGGACTCCCAGGTGCCTGCTGCAGGTCCCCACTCGCCTGCTGCGATCCAAGCCCACATGTGTGTCTGCTCCTCTCCCAGCCCCTCCCACTGGCCCAGTCCCACCCTCTCAGGCTTGGAGGCTCGCTGCTAGGGTGCATCACGCACACAGGTTTGGCCTTGCTCACTGCTCTGTGGTTGTGGGAACTAATGTCACTTCTTGTAGCGCTGTTGTACCACATCACAAGTGCAACTACGCAGATAAGATGAGGGACAGCACGTGAGGTCTCCACACGCAACCAGAGCATCTGTGGACAGCATCTAGACAGGGAAGAGTGAGCCTACAGGCCAACCTGTCCCCTCATCAGCTTTGGGGTAGCCACTTCTTGGGAACTCCATCTCCTCCCTGTAAAATAAAAGTAGTGATGCCTTACAGCCAAGTCCTGGGTTCATTGGCTGGGTGATTTTCCCAAGGTCAATGCCAGTCAAGGTGGAGGAAGGCTTCAGGTCTCCACACCCACCACCACATTTTGCTGAAAACCAGTAGTTGCTTGAAGCTCCATGAGAGAAATGGCCCTTCTGGATGAGGATGGACAGGGTTAGCCAGTCTCTGGGGGACCAGCCCAAGATCCGTTATCACTCCCTACCAGAGTGTGGGAAATTCAGAGGAGCAGCCTTTGTTCTGACTGATGCCACCTGTCACACAGGAACAAGAGCAGCTGCAAAACAGCTTACCATCTAGGACAGCACTTCAGAGTGGGAAACAGGCATGTTTCAGGCCCCCCAGCCCATGCCTGCTACATCATACAGACAGCTCTCCAGGGTTACACTGCTGGCCTTTCCCCCGGGTCCATGACTCTGAGTGGTCTCAGAATCATGAGAGACCTGGGTGGGACCAGCATTCGCCTCCCACTGGAAATTTTAACTGTCACCATGACTTTGTGGAGGCAACCCTATGGGAAGATTCAGCTTTCGCCCCATGCTGTGATTCAGCCAGCCTCTTCTCCCAGATCCTTCACTTTCTCACTTTAAAGCTGGAGCTAGACTTGCCACCTTGTGCCCAGCAACTATAAGAAACCTATGTGACAGGATCCACCTCTTATTCTGGGGATAAAAAAGTTTCATTGGGCCAGAGAAAGTAAGTGCAGGGGTCTTTCCTATAAGCCACTTCCCCTGGGGAGTGACAGAGTGGGGACCTGGGCAGAGCCAGCTGCTCAGCATCAAGTTGAACAGGAGCCAGGAACCTCCTCCCCATTACAGCCATTGACCATCTGAGCCAAGAATGCTGCCAGTAACTGGCCTCCCACGGCCAAAGCAAGTGAATGAACACTGGTGGCTTTGACAGAAGTGATCACAGGGTTGGGATTGATGGATTTATTAGCTGGTACCCTTTTCCCAGCCCTTGACAGAGCACCCCAGCATCCTGAACTCTCTAAACTGGATGAACTTTGTTGATGAACTCAAGTTCATAAGCTAAAAAGATTTTACTTGGGGGTTCTGGGAATTGCAGTTCAGGAGACACGGATGGCTCTGAACAGTGTTCTGAGCAGGGCATGTGAAGTGAGAGCTGTGGAGAAAAAGCTCTTAAATCAGTACAAGGTAAGGAAAGTCGTTTAAAGCAAGCCCCTGTGGAAATCGGAAGAGAACTCAAAGGTGAGAGGGTAGCGTGGCCAACAGAGGATAAAGAAAAGAATGTATATACTCGGTGAAAGTGTGCATAACACAGGTGCATCCCCTAGATGACCTAGGCATAGTGCAAGCATCTGTCCTTCCAGGTGCCTACAGAGGGTGGAGGTGAAGTTTGCACTCTAGGCTGCAGCTGGAGATGTACACAAGTCCTACTCCCTGCTAGGCTCCCAGCCTATCTTGAAAGCCCTCATTGTGGTTTTCATCACAGTCTTCCTTCATTTTCACCTTCAGGGGGCTAATGCAGGGCTTCTCAAATCCATGACACACCCAGGAGTTCCACTGCACCAGACCTGAAGCTGTACAGTCCTTGGGTGGCTCACACGCTTGGGGCAGGGGACAGGCAGGCAACCAGACAGAAAACCAGTCTGCATGAGAGCAGGTATCCAAAGGATCCAGGTGGCAAGACAGGGAAAGCTTCCTGAAGGAGGCAGGCAGGTGGAATTAACCAGGCAGAGGAGAGGAAGAGCCTCCCAGACAAGGGCATAGGGCTTAAGATCCAGTACTCAAGGGCCCAGTGACTATAAGAACCCTGTCGTGACAGGAGCAGGGCCAAGAAGGGTCTGCCTTGTTCTAGGAATACAAAAGTTTCATTGAGCCAAGACCCTGGAAGACAGTCAGTACAAAGACAGGGTCAAGGTCAATGTCTGAGCAAATGCAGTTGAGGCAGGTGACAGCCAGCTTTTGCAGAGAGCTGCTTTGTTCAGACCCAGTGGGCTCACACTAGACCTGCCAGCCCAGGCCCCCGGTGGCCCATAACTGGAAGCCACCTGGCCCATCAAAAGCACAGCCAGTCCCAGCTGCCCCTCCCCATGGTGTGCCTGTGGACAGCCTGCTCCCCATCCCAGCTCTTGGCTCACATTATGGTATAAGCCCAGCACCCTCCCTCCTGCCCTCAGCAGTGGCAGCTCCAGCTAGGGTAGCTTCTGCTCAGGTAGTGGTGCTTTTGGCATGGGGTGGCATAGACAGCAGGCCACAAGTAGACCTCCACAGTCCAGAATGTCAAAGAAGGTCCAGCCCGAGGGTGGGCAAGGCCAAAGCACACCCATATACACAGTGGGGACACTGGGTGCCAGGGAGGGCTTGACAATAGGGAATTAGCTGCAGGGCCAAGGCCTGTGTCTCCTATGGTGAGCAAAGAAACAGGTCAGCAGCCTCACAGACCACAGAGCAACACCACCAAGCATCCTTAGAAACGTTTTATTGGCAACAGCTCCCAACCAAGTCTTCAGAGGTCTTCATGTGTCAGAGTGAAGGTAGACACTAAACCTCACAAGTTCCCCAGCTGGCAGGACAGTAGCCCTGGCCCCTACCAGGACCAAAGCCCAGATGGCCATGTTGTCCTGGCAGTGAACAAACCAGGCTGGGAGCCAGACAACTCAGCCTCAGTGTCCCTCGGCATGTGGGGAGGTACCAGCAGAGCCTACCTCTAATGGGACAGTGTGAAGCTGGAGGCTGAGTAGGGTACAAGGCTGATGGATGGGGACTCTGAAGACTGGGAGAGAGGAGACAGTAGGAGCAGGAATGAACAGTTGACCAATGACAAATGCCTCTATGTGACACATGCCCTCACAAAAGAGGCCCTGAGGCTCCCTGGCCCGTGTGACCCTAGGGCCAACTCTGGGCAGATAGCGAGGCGGCCCCTTGACCTTGTGGTCAAGCTCAGGCCCCAGCCAAGTCACTGCAGGGAGGATCCTGTTGTCCTGTGATGGCCCTTTGCCTCCTCCAGCTGCTACAACCTCCTCTGGAAGCTGCTTGCAGTTGACTGCTGGCTGCTACGTGAGCAGGCCCCTGGTGAGCCTCAGCACAGCCTCGTAGGCGACGAAGACTACCATGTTGACAGGGAAGGCACGGCAGCAGTTGAGCGTCAGCCCCTTGAAGAGCACCCTGGGCCCCTCCTCCCGCACACTGGCTACCACACAGTGCAGAAGGCCTCGGTAGCGCTGCTTGCCCTGCCCATCTGCCTGCAGGCGCGACTTGATCACATCCATGGGGGTGGCCACAGCCCAGGCCAGGACCCCTGCACAGCCTCCGGCCACCAGCACAGCCAGAACATCTGCAAGAGATACCACGCATTGCCTGACTGCAGTACCCTGACGGCTGGCTTCAGCCTATCTGCCTGTCCTCAGTCAGGCTCCAGGGAGGGGAACATGACCTGTCCAAGACCACACGGTGACTTTGACAGACAGAATAAGATTCCCGCCCTAGAAGGCCACACATCTAGGTTCAGCTCCTCACTCAGGTGCCAGTGTGTGGCATGAGCTCCTCTCCTAGCCCCCATCCCACCCTCGGATGCTCACCTGGCTGGATGTGGCCGGCAGGTGTGAGCCACTCAGAGAGGATGGCATAGGAGAGGAAGTAGGTGGCGAAGGAGTGGCCTTCCCGAAGGAGCAGTGCTGAGCTGCCCTTGTAGAGACCCCGAAGTCCTTCCTCACGGGCCACAGTAGCCAGACAGTGAAGTGGCCCTCGGTACTTTGGTGCAGGCACCAGACATGCAGGGGGCACAGGACACACAGTGGGAGAAGCTGAAGCCCACGATGCCGAGGGCCGCCGCCGCTGCTGCATCTGTGTCTGTGTCTGCAGACGAACCTTAGCCACCTCAGTGGGCGATGTCAGGAATACCTGGGGCAGAGGAAGCAGGGTGGAACCTTGCCTGCAACCTGCCCACACATCCTAGGATGAGTCTCCATTGCCTTCTAGTGCCCAGGATAGTGTAGGGGAGCCTAGGCCCCAAGAAGCTGCAGGGCAGCTGTAATGGTACAGGATTCAAAGCTGGCTCTGCCCCACCAAGGCCAACACCAAGGCTTTCTTCAGCAACTACCTCCCATCACAGACAACTGGTGTGACATGTAGTCTATAATTCAGTCTATTACTAGTAATTAAAAACATAATTATTCGTAAGGTGATCATATTGCCAATAGCATCAGCTGTCATTGTGTGGGTGGTATACATGTCAGGCTTCATGCTGGGGTCTTTACACCCATGATGTCACATAATCCTTACTATGCTTCATACAGATGAGGAGACAAGCTCAGAGAGGCTCCCTAGCATGGTCAAGGGCACTCAACTAGCAAGAATCAGAACAAAGAGTTGATCCTGGTTGGTGAGGCCCATCAGCCATTAACCTCTGCACTGCATGTGTGGCGGAGATGTCACTGGGCTTCCCTTGCAGCAGCATGCCTCTCCAAATGGCTCTGTTTAGGGGCTGTACATTTGTACATGTCTCCCCACCTAGTGATACGCCCGTGAGGGCAGGCCTTGGTTGCTCTGGCCTCCCCATCCCCATCTGCCATGCTGGGGCTCCATCTGTACTTGAGGATGAAGGATGCAGGGTGTCCATGATAACACTCCATGATGTTCAGGCATCTTGGCGCCCATGCTATAGATGAGGACTACCAGCCAGTCAAGAATTCAAGCACCTGAGCAACCCAAGGCCTGCCTAATTGGACAACTTTCTGCTTTTCTGGGGTCCCCAGACCCCAGACCAGGGTTCCTCTGTTTGCTTTACCTCTTCACAGGCCTCTACTGGGTCCACCCAGGGCAGAGGCCCTGTATATGTGTGTTGCAGAAGGAACCTAAGCACTGCAGGCAGGATGCCGGCTCCTCACCACAGTCCCCACTCCCTCCAGACTCTGCCCCCTCTAAGCCTCAGTTTCCCCACCTGCTGGGGCAAGTGACTCAGACACCTCAGTCTCTCTGAGGCCCTCCCTGCCCCCCTTGCCAACCTGTACTCACACGGACAAGGCCAGAGGCACATCCCGAGAGCGTAATGTCAGCTTTGGAGGGCTTGGCATCAGCACTGCCGTATCGGAAGCGGCAGATGTGCGAGAGGCAGTGGTGGTAGGTGCCAAAAGACACGGACGAGACCAGGGACACTGTACACACAGGCAGAGAGAGGCCCCGGTAGAAGCCCCACACCTGGTGGAAAGGGCCTGAGTCAGGTCAGGGGCCCAGCCAGGGGAGGCTGTCCTGGGCCTAGCGGAAGCCACCTCTGGTCCACTTGCATGCCCTGCCACACACCTTCCCCAGGTCATTCCCCAAGTCAGGCCTCAGAGCCTCAGCTATAAATGGGGGTCACAGTACCCAACTGGCAAGGTCATGGTGAAGGATTAAAGAGACAGAGGGTCAAGCTCAACACAGGACAGTCATTTAACGACAATAATGATGAAGTAGGATAGCTATGAGTGCTGTTTTTCATGAGCTAAACCTGGTTTGCACCAAGCCTCATGTTCCCTTTGGTAAATGTCCCCAAGTCTCTGCTCTGGACAGGGCTCTGAGCCTGAAAGTTAACTTGATGATACTATATAGGACTTCCTCCATGGGACGCCTGGCTCAGAAGGGACAGAAATGCAATACACAAGCCTCTCCCTCAAACTTCAGGAGCCCAGTGCCATTTCTAGAACCCTTATTGGAGACAGAGACTTCACTGTGGGCCTTCTGTATGCCAGATGCCCAGGCTCTCATCCATAGAGGCATCCCTGAGATGGGCACAGTGGTTCCCATTTGGAGGGTGAGAGAGCCAAGGCCCTAAGGAACCCACATCCCCTGGCTGGTTGGTGAGAGGCAGGCTTGAGGCCCAAGATCCTAACATCCCCTGCTTATCTCCCCATGACCCCAGGCCTACCCGCTCTTGGCGATACGTGTCCCGAATACAGTGCCAGATGCCTGTGTACTTTGGCTCTGTCTGGATCCTGACCTGAGGGAGAGAGAGAGAGGCAGGCTTAGGAAGGGCTGGCCCCAGGCTCAGGGCAAGGCCAGTGGGCCCTGGGGGATGGAGGGGGTTGGAGGACAGGGTCCCCCTCTTGACTTCACAGGTTTATTGGTGTGTGGGCAGAACAGGGACAGTAAGCCTTACTTGAGAAGACAACCTTAAGACACAGAGTGAGAAGAGATTACATAGACTCAAGGACCATTGGGAGCCATTAAAGGTGTTGGAGCAGGAGAAAGCTAAGTCTGATTAGCATTCTAGAAAAGTCTGATTAGCATTCTACCAACCATGGATGGGTGTAGGATATACTGAGAGTGAGCTAACCAGGCACTTGGGGTGGGGGTGGGGCCAGGCCTTGCCGCACCTTCACTGTATCCAGAGGGTAGCCCACAGCAACACCACAGACACCTGTAAGGAAAATCAGAGGCACCGGTGAAAAGAGCAGGAGGTGGTCTAGTCAGCAGTAAGCCTGTCTTATGAGGATGGTGGCCCCCGGAGTGAGTTGCCATTAGAACAGATCCCACCATGGCCCTTCCTGTCTGCACCAGGTCTCACTAGTCCCCAGAACAACCCTTGGTTTGCATATAAAGAAACTGGGGCCTATGGCTCACGCCTGTAATCCCGTCTACTCAGGAGGCAGAGATCAGGAGGCTCGAGGTTTGAAGCCAGCGCAGGCAAATAGATCATGAGACCCCATCTCAAAAACAACAACAAAAAAAAAATCACAAAAAAGGGCTGGTGAAGTGGCTCAAGGTGTAGTCACTGAGTTCAAGCCCCAGTACTTAAAAAAAAAAGAAGAAGAAAAGAAAAAGTTTCTCAGCTTGCTAGAGATTTCCCCTCCGCTGAGCTAGTGTCATCTTTTGTGAGAACTTCTGGTTTCTGCCCTCTCTGACTCATCCCTGAACCAAGTAGACCTTGCCCTCAAGCCTCCGTGTGAAGGACTTGCCTGCAGCCACCATTCCAGCTGTGGGGGCAGTGCAGAGGCACAGCCATTGCTATGAGATGCCTAGACCGCATCCAGGATGCATGAAGAGCCAAGACAGCCTGGAACCACAGGTGTGTGTGCAACAGAGTCAGGGGCTGCTATGGTTCGAACAAGCAACCCCAAAAGGCCTGGTCCCTAGCATGGCGCCATCAGGAGATGGTGGAAGCTGTGAGAAGCAGGGATTGGTGAGAGGTCCTTAGGTGACTAGGGCTGCCCTGGGCAATGACTGTGGGATCCCAGCTCTTTCTCTTCCCTTTTCACTTCCTGGCCCTGACAGGAGCAATTTACTCTACCATCTGCTCCCCACTATTGCCACCTGGCTCCACACTGGAGGCTCAGAGTAACAGCCACCTAGTCTACCAGAACCTCCAGGACTGCCAGCTAAATAAACCTTTTCTCTTTCTAAGTCACTTATCTAAAACATTTTGCATAGATAGAAAGCTGACTGGGGCATGGGAAGGCTGTGGAAGATGACAAGGCACATGGGCTTCACCCTCTTTGCTGTGTGTCCCAGGGCACATGAGTGAAAGAACGAGTAAGTGGGTACATGAAGTGTAAAGCAAAGAACTGTCTACCTGAGAGGCTCAGGTAGTATTACTCTCCTTGACCCTCACATGCATCTCACCAAAGTCCTTCTCATCCATCCAAAGCCCTGCCACAGCATCACTTCCCCTCTGCAGGCCTCCTTGACTCAACTCTAGTCTGCCTCTGTGCCAGGCAACATGATTGGAGCCTTTGTCACACAGCCTTGCTTCTATGCCTTGCACACCACTGCTACTTCCAGAGCTAGAGTCCCTCAAGGACAAGGCCCATGCCCAAGTCCCTGTGACCCAGGGCTAGACACAGAGCCCTCTCACCCAGCCTTCCTGCAGGCTCTGGAGAGAACAGGTCATCCTGAGAGCCTTTCCTGGCCATTGGCAAGGTTATGCCCTCCTCTGGGCCTCCCTGTGGGCACTAGTGTTCAGAGGAGCAGCTAGCCTTGGGCCAACACATAGCAGGGTCCAGCCATCCCTAGAAGGGCCAGGACCAGGTACCCCCCCCAAGTCAGGGCTGCCCTTCCCTGGTGACCCCCAGGCTGTTCCGTAAGAATGCAGAACCACTCACTGCTATTTCACAAGACAAAGAAGGTAAAGGTGCCAAGCTTAAAATAGCCCCTCAACCTGACCATCGATCCACAGCCTGGGCAGAGTTAGAGCCACCTGTCAGATCAGACACCTTCCCAGGATGGAAAAAAATCTCAGTCATGGAGGGCTGGGCATCAAAAGACCCCGGAGGTCAGGAAGGCCACGAGGCCACAGCCAGAGGAATGGGGTTCCCATTAGGCCTCTCCCCTCCTTCGTCCTGTCCAGTCTGTGGCTGAATATCCTGGGGGCCTCCTGTGCCCCCGACACAGGCTCTGGTCTCCACCTGTTCTGACAGTAACCAGCCCATGCTCCCAAGCCAGGGGTCCCCAGCCTGCCCTTAGTATCCTCCTGAACCCCAGGGCACTGCAGCCCCCTCCTCCCAGGCCCTTCATGATACCCGGGAGTCTGCCTTCCTTGCCAGCCTCCACGGCCCATGTCAGGCCCGGACCACCCGTAAGGGCTTCCACACACACTGCTCAGGCAGCGCGCTGTCCCAGCTCCCCAGCCCAGTACCTCCAATGGCCCCAGCAACAAAATCCATGGACAATGTGGGAGGTAGGGAGACTCTGATCTGGCTGCCTGGAAGTGTTTGCCACCAAGGACCAGTGGCCTCAACAGCTCTGCTGTGCTTCTCTGAGACCTTATGTACCTGTGGGAGGGGGCAGGGGACAGGAAGCAGGGACCTATGAGTGGCCAAAAGTCTGGCTGGGCAGCAGGCGGTCAATGCCCACGCCCACATATCCTGCAGCTGAACTTCCCCAGCTCAACCCCCAGGACCCTTGTGTGCCAGTGCCTTCAGGACGCAGGTGTCAGGCAAGTGTGTGAGAGGTCATGGGAGGTGGCACACCCCCAGATATAGATTGACCTCTGCGTGGGATGAGACTGACCAGGCTGTAAATACAGCCTCTGGTCAAGCTGAGAGGCCAAGCATGACAGTCTGCTGCTCACCTGCATCCCCCACTGTGCTACCTCTAGCCCCAGGAGGAAGCAGGGCAGCACCAGACTGCATTTACAGATGGAGGCCCAAAACGGGGCTCATCAGAGACCACGCAAGGCAGGAGCGGGATCTGATTCCCAGCCACCTTCTCTCATAGCCAGGTCAGGGGTCGCCTTGACTGGGAGGCCATCACCTCTGGTCTTTGAAGAAGATCAGCACATCCAGTAATCCCACTCCTGGGGATATTCCCAAAAGAAAGTGACATAGGCTACTCCAGAGGCACCTGCACACCCATGTTTATTGCAGCACTATTCACAATAGCCAAGTTATGGAGACGGCCAAGATGCCCAACTACTGATGAATGGATTAAGAAAATGTGGTATCTATACACAATGGAATTTTATGCAGCCATGAAGAAGAACGAAATGTTATCATTCGCTGGTAAATGGATGGAACTGGAGAACGTCACTCTGAGTGAGGTTAGCCAGGCTCAGAAGACCAAAAATCTTATGTTCTCCCTCATATGTGGACATTAGATCAAGGGTAAACACAACAAGGGGATTGGACTTTGATCACATGATAAAAGCGAGAGCATACAAGAAAGGTATGAGGATAGGTAAAACACCCAAAAAACTAGATAGCATTTGTTGCCCTCAATGCAGAGAAACTAAAGCAGATACCTTAAAAGCAACTGAGGCCAATAGGAAAAGGGGACCAGGAACTAGAGAAAAGGTTAGATCAAAAAGAATTAATCTAGAAGGTAACACACACGCACAGGAAATTAATTCGAGTCAACTCCCTGTATAGCTATCCTTATCTCAACCAGCAAAAACCCTTGTTCCTTCCTATTATTGCTTATACTCTCTCTTCAACAAAATTAGAGATAAGGGCAAAACAGTTTCTGCCGGGTAGCGTGGGGGTAGGGGGGGAGAGGGAGAAGAGGGGGGAAAGGAAGGGGCGGGGGGAAGGGAGGAGAAATGACCCAAACATTGTATGCACGTATGAGTAAAATTTTTTTAAAAAGGAGATCAGCACAGCCCCCTATCACCACCAGCACATGACCCAGATTGCAGCTGGTGAGATGACCTGCAGAGAATATAGAGGCTCAGGACCAAATAGCTGCTACTGGCCAGAAAGCTGTGGAGTGGGGGAAGGGGCAGATGTTGACATCTTTGTCCAGCAGCTCTGTCCAGGTGGCCCTCAGAAGAGAGCAGCAGGAAGCCACGTGTCCACTTGTTTTCCTTTTCTCTGATGGGTCATTGCAAGCTGGCCTTGAACAGGCTGAGAACTGACCAAGAGGTGACACTCCCCCACCCTGCCACCAGTCTATTTTTGGGCAAGTGGGCAGTCCTAGCTGCCACATCAGAGGGCAGAGGGCAGGGGGCAGGAAATGGCCTGTACAAGGCCAGCCCTGATGTCCATCCTGGCTTGTAGAGAGACATAGTTCAGTGTCTGGCTAGGAGCCCAGCTACTGCATTCAAATCTCAGCTCTGCCTCTCATGGTTTGAGACTGTGAGCAGTCCTCCCACCCCCAATCTCCTTGTGCATAATGAAGTGAGGGTACTCCCAGCCACATGCCCACGAGCCCTCAGGGCAGGCTCCAGACGTGTTCCTACTAATACTAAGACTGCATTACTAGAAGCATAGGGTCTAGAAGAAAGGAGATGATGGGCCTGTTCTGGGCAGAAAAATACAGCTGAGTCTCAGGTTCCTTGGGTAATGAGGGAGCTTGAAGGATGCTGCCTGCTTGAGACAACAGAGACCCATTTAGTCCTACTTTTCCAATGCATTACATCTCTGGCACTGGAGCCAAAAGCCTAAGGGCTTCTCTGGACACCTTTCTCCCTCTGGAGAGTCACTGGGTTCCATGTGCCCACCCTCTAAAACATAGTCAGGACCATTTGTCACCATCCACCTGCCCTGCTGACTGCATCATTCCTGGACAGAAGCCTGCCCACAATGTATGCGACCAACACTGCTTCCTGTACATGCCAAATGTCAGCACTGGACACATTAATCCCCTGCCCTGGTGGGTCCAATGTGCTAGAGCAGGAGATGAGAACCCAAGTAAACAAGGGAAATCCAGATTGGAGGTATGGCTCAAGCAATAGAGCGCCTGTTTTGCAAGCGCAAAGCCCTGAGTTCAAACCCCAGTCCCACCAAAAAAAAAAAAAAAAAGGTTGGGGGGAAATCTATGGGCTGGGGATGTAGTTCAGTGGTAGAGCACTTGCCTAGCATTCTTTAGGCTCTAGGTTCGATTCCCCAGCACCAAAATTAAAAAAAAAAAAAAAGGGAAATCTAGCATGTGTCAGAGGACCCAGATTCCATATTCCAGAGGGAAAATAAAGTGGGAGGAGACGGG